TACACATATAAAATATAACACTCTGGAAATTAAACATATTTTTTTCTTTCAAAATTTATGAAGAATTCCTCCCATAATTTAGAAGTGAAAACCCTAGTTGTTAGGAGGCCACAGCTATCATTTTTTAAAATTTACTTCTAAATAATACCATTGGCGGTAGAGGTATGACATTTTTCTGAAAATTATGGCGTTTTTTTATGACTGCATTCGAACTTCCTTGTTATTGTTCACAGATCAAATACAATTTGCCAGTGCAATTTTTGTTTTTAATTAATTCTGTATTGCTTTGCATGTTTTTCCGTTTTGCTCGGTACGTGCTCGGCATTTGTGTGTGGCGTCTGTTTAACGTCTTAACTTGGCAAGTCTGCACCGGTCTCTGGGGCGTCTCCAGGTTTTCTTTTTTTTTTTTTTTTTTTGTTTTGCACCGTTGCATTTGTTTATATTAAGTATTTTTCTTTGCCCATTTTGTTGTGTGCTGTGCTCTGTAATTAGCCACCCTTGTGGACAAGACAGCTGCTGCTGTTTGTCTGTTGGCCAAAATTGCTGTGCATAAAATGTTTAAGTTGACATTTTTAGCAACAGTTTGTAATTTGGTCGTTGCTTTGGCTTTGGCGTAACCCTTTCAGATATTTTCTAATTTTTTTCCCTTATTCTTGCATTTTACTTGCAGACTGCTTAATTGCATTAGCAAAAACCCGCGTTTTGCATTCAAAGAAATTCAACAGAAATCGCAACCCAAATCAACTTAAAGGTAAGTTTGAATGAAATTTTTTTATTTTAAAGTTACAATTTAAAAATGATGTAAAAAATAGCACGGGTTTAAAAAAATTTGTTGCCAGCAGTCCACAGAATTAAGGGTAGATCTAATGTGCTCTATTTTTAATTTAAAGTTACATTTTAAAAATTGTGGAAAATACCATAAATTAAAAAAAAAAGAAATTGCTTCCTTAACTCATTTCTATAATTTTTTTTTTTTTAAGAAATGTACTTTTAAATTAAAACATCATAAAAAGAGAAGAAATGTGTCGGCTGAAAAATATGTATATACAAATAATGCCTAAATGTTTATGGTCCAGTTGCATTTTTATAGCTCAACCCCTGCAAAAACTTGTCTCGGCGCTTCAGATTAAAATGCTTAAGCTAAAAGCATGCTCCACTTTTTACGATCTTTGGACATTTTATGGACTTCGCTTAACCCCCTCAGTGCTCAATCATCAACCCCTTCAAGCGTTTTTTGGCACCCAGCCATAACTTAATTATCCATATGAATCCTACAGTTTTATTGCGACCCACACACAGCCAGCAGGCCGGTCTTTAATTATGATGAGTACTTCTTCTTGTTGTTGCCCTGTTTGCAGCTGTCATATTTTTATTTATCTAAATTGGCAGATCTTCACGGGCCGCCTGCTCATTAAAATGCTATAAAATCGCCTTGACTCACGAGAGACTGGCAAATGTTTTATTCGCGTTGCGTTGGCGTTTTCAGTTCTAAATTTTATTTTTATGTCCAGCAGCTGTACATCATCATAAGTTTATTGTTTGCATACTTCATGGCTCTTGTGCCGTTAATTTTATAAGCCCACGGGGCTACAGGCTCAGTTGTCAAGCGAAATTATGTTTAAAATTTGGAATGTATAAATGAATACTTGCATCAATTATATAAGATGCCATCAACCCTTTACATATAAGCCCTTTCCAAACGCCAAGTGCGGTTGCGAAGCTCCTCTGCACGGTCAGTGAATATTTGTCATTGTGTTTTGTGAAAAGGGGCAGGGGAAGGCGCCCCAAATTGTTGCAACTGCGGTTGCATTTGAGGCGGTTGGGTTGCTTTGAAGTAATCGCCAGTGACGTTGCCCTAAGGCTAAGCCTCATTTGCGGTCAAATTGTGTGCTGTGCGTTGGCTGAAAGTCGATTATGTCAATATTGTGCCAGGGCCAATGCCCAATGGCTAATGGCTAATGGCCGGTGTCGATGTCTGTGAGTGTTTGTGATAAGGATTTGTGTAAGTTGCGGCCGCTGCCTTCCTTCGATAGCAGCAGCAGCAGCAGCAGCCGCAGCTCATATGCTAATTAGTGTCCTGTTATTAAAGCCAAAGACGCTTCTTAAAGCTTTACAATTTTCGGGAATCTGTTAACAATTTTAATAGCCGAAACTTTCACATAAAATCGACATATGGGTAACTTAAGCAAACAGCCAAGGCGAATCAGTGCCGCCTCTTCTCAACAAACGAGCATAAACTAGCTGTAAAAACACATAAAAATCATAGAATACATTTAGGAGTCGAATTACAAATGCCCTCAAAAAAAAAGGGGTGGATAAGAATACACACATCCAGGCAAGGAAGATAAAAACGAGCGGCAAAATAAAAAGGAGTAGCTGCATTTCCACATTAAAAACGCATAAAAATCGGGCATGGAATTGCCAAATACGAAGAACAGCAAAACAACAACACGCAAGCAAGTCACATAAAGAGGCAATGAAAATCAAAATCAAAATCGAGTAGAAGGCAACATAAAAGTAAAATTGACGTTCGGATTTTGAGGAATAGCGAAAGCAATTGAAGCAATCAATTAAAATTGATGAATCAAATTGAATCACGTGTTACAATTTTCTTGAGAGATTGTTATCGAGTTACATTATCGAGGCCTTCGGATTGAAAACAAATAAAATGTGTCATAAAAGTGGAAGAAAGTTAATGCCACTGACGATTGCCAACTAAGTCTAGTGGAATAATCAGATAACTTTGTTTAAAATATTTATAAAGAAAAACACAAAGTAAACAAATTGTTCAGTTAAGTTGAAGTGGCCTTAAAAACTAACCAGCTGCTCAAGTTTGGGTAAAAATCTGCATGAAGTCAAAGCAAAACAAAATTATCTAATTATAAAGCAACTATTTTGATTTGCGTAATGTTTCCATTTCAGCATGCTTTCGAGATCAGCATACTTACAGCAGCTATATCTTTGATTTTGAAAATATATTAACTTCGATGTATCCGTAATCTGTAATAATATATGCGCTGTCAGTTCGAATATCTATGTCTTAATGCTCGTCCTATAAATAATATTGAAGTTAGTATATGTCTTATTAAATTAATGTTATATTTATGAATTTGTTAGATCAATCGATCAAATTTTGTTGCATGTCTTTATATTTTTCAATCAAATACTTGTCAAATATGGTATTTATTTTTTTACTTTAGCTTCACAAGTTCAACCCTGATCAACCCTTATCATCTTAAAACTTAATCAGCTTGAATAAAGAACTTAAGTTATAAATCATTAATAAAATGTAATAAGCCTTTTGCAGCTAATCCAGAATTTTGTCTCATTTAACAATCGAATGATTTAAATTTATTTAAAAATCTTCAAGACTGATTAGTACTTCATTTAGTATATATCTTACAATACAACTATCATTGTAAACTGTTTTAAAATACTCAAAAACTGTTTTTATTTGAAATTTAATGAAAACCGGTAGAAAATCTTCAGAATTGCGTACAGATATAAATAGTGGCCATCATTATATTATTTTTTTTTTTTTTATTATTAGATTATTAGCATAATTATTATTATTTGTATTTATATATATATTTTTTTTAAATATTATGATTGTAATTTATATTAATATTATTATTAACATTAGTTTATATATATATGTTTATATTTAAAATCAATATGTTTATATTTAAATATAGTTAATTTATATTTATAAATATATATTTTATATATTTAAATATTTATATATATTTAAAATATCAATGATTGTTCCTTCCAAATACATAATTAAGCCTTCGTCAGGACTTCCCAAAATATGTGCTATATAAATTATGTGTATAGGTATAGTTTGTTCCCTTGCAGAATCACAAAAATCTTCATTGAGCTTAGATGATTGTACTCATTCCCATCAACTGTCTCGTGGACAAAAAAAGGCGAGTTCAGTGCTCTCAGTTAACCCCCTCCTGAGGGGTTACCCCTCACCCCTTTGGCATTCCGTGCTATCAGTTGGCAGAAGCGAAAACTTTTATGCGCTTGTTAACAAAAGCGTGAAATTCAATGCGGACGAACTCAAATTTACGACACTGCAAATTAAACTTGATTTTTATTTAAATAAATTGCATTTTATGCGCCCGGCTACGATATGCGATGCCGTCGACGACGTCGACGTTGACGTCGTAATAATAAGCAGGCAACGGCCATAATTTGCACCGGAATATGACGGGAGGATATGTGGCGATGACTGGGTGACGGACGGACGGAGAGACGGGCTGGCTTGACGCTGCTTTATGTATTTTTATTTATTACACACAGCATTGCCAGGAAATGTTTGTTGATTTTCCGCAGCGCGCGCACAATAAAAATCGGGGCAAAAAAAGCAAATTATTTTCTAGACGAACGCGCGTTCCTCGAATAAAAAGCCAGAAAAATTTCCCAATTGAACTGAACGTTTTTTTTAATACCCTTGCCAAGGGTTCTGTCATTTCGTCAGTAAATGTATTACGAAATAATATATTTAATATATATGTACATATATTTTTTGGATTAGTGACTTAAGCAACGACCAGACTATTAGTTTCTGGGCAGAGTGAACTTTTAGGCAAACTAAATCGTGAATATTTATAAAAATACTGATTACTGAGACATTTTACGGGATTTTAACTGCTAGTGATTATTGAATATAAAATGAGATTTAATAATGTGAGTTATTGATTAAAATATTTGTTTGATCATAAAATTCGTCATCGCTCTCTCTCTCTCGCTCTCTCGCTCTCTCTCTCTCATAAAAACTTCAAATTTCAAAAAGAAATGTTATATTTTGTAAACAAATTACATACTTTAGTTTATATACACTTTTTTATTTTATTATGTCTTTTGCTTAATTGCTTGTTTGTTTAGTATTGCCGTATTACCGGATTGAACTAGCGGAAGTCGGAAAAACATTAATATCTTAAGGTAACCAGCTCATTATACATTTTGCCAAAATGTAAAAAAATGATCTGCTGTATGTTAGAGCTCCTCTTTAAAAACTGAGCGCTTAATAACAATCTCTATTAAATATTAGATGCCGGTTAGGGTATTTAAGCTGCGACATTGTAACGGACAACTCTTATTTCATGCTTTTTATTTTTTTATATACGACCTCGTCGCAGCCGTCATTAAAAACGGAAATGTAATGCGTAATTTGTGCGCCGCGGTGTATGCTATACAACAAATATTTGAATAGAGCCAAGCGAAGCGAATTGATAAGGGCTCAACAAAAGGTTCGATGGCTGAAGGAGATGCATCCCTTAATCAGTATGAGCTGGTCTGCTGGGCAAGGCTTCAAGCACTTCTTGAAGCATTTCGTGTTGCAAGCTATCCTCTAAGAAGGACAAGAATTTATTAGTTTCCCTACAGCTGTCTTAGTCAACAGCTCGAATCTTGCAGTAGTAGGTATTTTTGGTATGCAAAGTCATAACATAAATTAGCTGTGCCTTTTCCTGTCGCTCGCCGATGGGCTCGAAGTAAAAGTTTCTCATTAAGTGGGCCATCACCATTTTCATCATGACCATGGCATAACGCTGTCCCACACAACTCCGAGCCCCAGTCATGAAGGGTATGTGGGTGGAGGCTTCTATCTTTGGCTCGGCATCACGCGCCCAGCGTTCCGGCTTAAAGTTTAGCGGGTCCGGAAAATAGTCCTTGCACCGCCCAATGTACATGGGTGAGATGATCACATCGCAGCCCTTGGGTATAAAGAAGTCATCTGCAAAAAATAATCACAATGTTTAAATACTCTCAGGAAAATATCGCCTACAATTTTTATATTCGTTCTAAAATGAAAATCTCCCTAAAAATATAATGTTATTCTATATCCTAAAAATAATTTCTGACTATTAGGAATAAAAAATTTCTACAAATTAGGAATGCTATTTTTCTATTTATTACAAATATTTTCTATTATTTACATAAAGTTAAAAAAGCAAACTCCAATTTTTAGAAATCTTCATTCTAAAATTCAGAAACAAATAATGAAATTTACTGGCTAGGCTTATAAGAGTTGAGCTGTCGTCTAGTGTTTTTCAAATGAAATTATTTGAATATATAAACTATGTAAATTGCTAGTACTAATGTTTAATAATAATAATTATAAGTACCAAAAAGCTATCCTGGAAATTAGATGTATTTCTATTTAAATCTTAGAAAAATTCATGCTGAAATTAGAAATGCAACCCCTAGTTTTTGGAAATCCTCAACCTCAAATTTTAGAAATTTGCTTTCCAATTGTCGCTAAAAATATGTCGACTTACTAAAATGTAGGGCGATTATTTGTATGAGGGTATACATCATTAGAGCAAATGGCTTTACTTACTGATTGTACAGTTGGCAGTGGCACGTCTGGCTAAAATGGGCGCAGAGGGGTACAGGCGCATTGTCTCCTTAATGCACATTTCGAGATATTCGAGATCCCGTAACTGCTCCATGGTTATGGGTGCAGCCGAATCCTTGCCACAAATACGCCAGATTTCCTCGCGGCACAGCTGCTGGCTTGCCATATTTAGGGTCATGTTGTACATGAAAAACTTGAGCGTGGCTGCTGTCAGATCGAAGCCACCAAAGATAATGGTGTCCACTTCCTCGCGGATGTCCTTCACCGTCAGCGGCTGACCATCGGGCGTCCTTGCCAGCAGCAGTGTGTCCAGAAAACTAAGCGTCTGCCGTTGGTTCACCTCGGCATCTTCAGTTGATGCACAGTTGCGGTTGGCTATGTCGGAGTTGAGCTGCTCCACACGGCCAGCGATAATGCCCTCTGTGAAGCCGTGCAGTATTTTGATGAGTTTCCTCTCACGCGCCGCCAACGGGGTAAACGGATAAATGAATGGGATGCGGTACAGCAGATTCTTCAGCCGGTTGTCGAATATGAGCATAACTCTGTGGTAAATATAGTTTAGTATAGATTCGCTCATACACTCGGAGAAAAATTGGAGAGTCAGCTTGCCTTATTTTTAAGAATGTGCGTTGGAAAAAGACTCGGGTTTGGCTATGGTTATCAAAAAAAAAAAAACGAAACTAAAACTAAACTTGAACTAAAATATTCAGCTCTGCTGTTTTTTAATTTCATTTCATTATAGACTAATAAAAAATATGTGTTTTAAAAATATAAAATAAATAAAACAAAAATATAAATAAGATTCTTTGATACTAATTCTTTGAAAACACAAACAAAAAATACTGGGTAGGCTTCATGTAAAATATTCCATATTATAATGCAAAATTGAATTTTCCTGAATGTTTCCAAAGCAGTATAGATTATAAACTTCTCAGAAATATAACATTTATATATATCTAAAATTCTGTGTTGAAATGTTGCGTGGACTGTGAATATTCAATACATACTAATCGAATTAATTATTATATAATATTTGCACAAATTTAAAACAGTACGAAAAACATGTTTGGCAATTTGTTGACTAAATCAATTGAGGTAGGTCAAGACAGTGCAAAGACAAATTGTATGTACACATAAACACAAATGCAGTGTTGAGCAACGCTAAATAATGAAATTCAAACCAAAAACACAAATCTCAAAGGAAATAGGAGTCAACTCAATCCTAAGCCTATCTTATGTGCATACACATAAACAAACACACGGGTTTTTTAAGCCATCTGCTTTGGGCAGATCTGAGAATCAATATATGTGATCGATTTGAATTTATCGGAGGAAGTTAGCACACAAATAACATATAGTTGAGCTGACAGACTGATGTGTCTCTATATATGTATGTATGGTTGAATATATACACTTGATGGCTTGGAGATGCTTCCTTTTGTTAAATATATATGTTGGCACAATTCTATAATACCTATCAAATTTAAATTCATATTCCAAGGTATATGAATAAAATGTGATTTTCTGATCGATGTTTTAAGCTCTTAGGGTACATATATGTATATATATGTCAACTCACTTTCTGACTGCATCAAAATATTCCGACTTTTGACCCGACTGCGAATTTACATTCGCACCCAAGGCCGCCTCGCAAATCGTGTCCAGCGTATAGCACCTGATGTATTGAAGGAAATCCACGGGCTGATTGGTGCCAGCCAGCTTGGACAGCCTGGAGACCAAGATGCGAGCCTGTCTCTCATATACTTGAACATACTGCTTGATCATGCCGTAGCCAAATGCCGGTGTAATCATCTTTCTGCGATGTATCCATTTATCCACGTCGCTGGTGAAGATGCCCTCGCACAACCAGTTCCGGAAAATGCGATAATCCGATGTCTTCTGCAGCAATTGTTGGGCACTACACAGCGCCTGAATATCCTTCGGATTGCAATCCAACACATAGAGCTTGGTGCCCAGCCAAATCTTTGCACGATGTTCCTCCAGATGACAATTGATCAGATCAGCGGCCCGCTTGAATGGCCTGGGACCCACAATCTTTGCCAATATGTGCAAATGCCCAATGATGGGCAGAAAAGGTGGCTCTGGCCATTTGCTGGTCAATCGATTGATACGCGCCTGATACTGATACACACACGACAGATACGTGATCAATGCGATCAACAAAAACCAGATTAATATTAAAAGCACCATAACTCTTTGAGTTCTTACACTCAACTGGTCGAAATTAACGCAGCATTTGCAAATTTAAACACAATCTTAGATGCACAAGTTCTTCACTAATTGCCATAAGAGGAGCAAAAAGTATATTATCGTATATATATATATATAAAAGTCTCTGTAATTGTGTAACTTGTAACACTAATGAACTGCAGGGCGTTTGAATATATATTCAAAGTGCTCGATTAGTCAACATCCCGAACAGTCCCAAAGAGAAGTGAGTCTTTTTGCTAGCCCGCAAGCGTTTAAGTACCCAGTCTGGATTTCTTGACGATCTTTTGTTTTAGTTCTCCGAAAGCGAAATGATCATATGTAAACAAATACTATATACGTATTTGGAATGCTTGGGCATTTGTTATGGTCACATGTGGGATGCCCTACAAGTTAGGTAATATTTACAAATTAGCAGACTAAGAATATTTTTAATCAACTTTGGCGTGGGAGGGCTTTACATAATTTATTAGTATTCTCCTGGCTGGTAGAAATTGTAATAAATTGGTTTACATTTAAAGATGTAATATTTGAAAACAAAATAAATTCATAGTTTAAATTATAATGGTGACATCAGTAGTGATATCCACATTGAAAGTGTATTTTCATTGTGAATAGACAACAAAGTGCTTAGACAGAATTCCACTCGGTGAATAAATATAATATAGATATATTATTCGTACGAAAAGTTCAATATTGTTATGGCGAAATTATCTATTTGATGGTTTGTCGCGCGCTTTGAATACAAATAAATTGCCCGAAGTGAGTGAGATTGACAAACAGATCACTTAATTCACAAAAAAAAATCAAATAATTCGCCATATTCGAAACCACCCAGAAGCCGTTAAAAACGCAGTAATTTATTATTGTATACAACCGATTTGAGATACACTCGATCAACTAAAACAAGTTTCTCAATTATTCCAAACAAACTTCATTTAAATTCAATTTTTGGCGAATGTGTCCACAGTATTTGATGTCATCTAATTGTTTTCTGTTTGTATACTGATCAAATAAACATTGTCAATTGTTGTCAATTTTGGCAAATATTGAATAATGTTGTAAAGGTATTTGTTTTTATACCCTCTTCTTATACACTATAGAAATGCTTAAATGCTTTTGGTTCCATTGTTTGAAAGGATAGTAAATGCGGCTTCATCAAATACCATAAATACTTTTATAATATAAATTGATATTCCACATAAGATTTCCAAAGAGTAAGAGTGTCTTTGAGTCGATGGTTTCTCTGTAGAATATATTTGTTTTCTTGCCCATATATGTACAGAAGAGTTTATTTTTCGAATTATGACATTTATAAAATTTGATACCGGTTCTAATACTGCTTATATAGTAATACTTCATATGGCAAATTCCGGAATTTCCATTTTGAGCATTCAAAATTGATGTTAACATTTTTCAAGGTTGAATGTACTTTCCAAATGGTATGATTGGTGCTAAACAAATGCTTTATAAGCCCACTCATGCATATTTTCTTCCAGTGCTAAAAACAACAGCCCTCGAAGATACGGGAATTTACTTTTGAATTTGACCAACCCGGTGAATACATTTGAATATATTTGTTTCTCTGCTGCGCAATCCTCAAAGAAAGCCGCTTACAGATTTCCTAAGCTTTTTGTGGGATACAATTTTAGATTTTTTATGTTATCGTTTATGTACATAAGTATATAATTTTTTGAACATATTTCATACCGTTCTTATATTCTGTTGCTGAACGTGGAAGAATATAGTGCTTTTAAAAATTAATTAAAAAATATATAAAAATCTCCCACAATTTGTAAGCTGGATTTCATTTGGAAGCCTCCCACCCGCTCCTCTAAAAATAGGAAATGCGTATATTATCCTTTTGTACCAAGGTCATATAACTAGAGTAGTGCAACTCCTTCGCCGAAACTAAGGAAATTCTATAGCTCAAATAATTTTGGATTTAAGTTATCAAACAGGGAATACAGATATTATCTTTCAATGTTTTAAATCAAGAAACTGTTATTAGAGTATTCCTCAATCTGTTTTTCATACTTGTTTAAATTGTTAAGTGTGCTTATGCTTATATAAAATTCTGGTAAACAAATTAAACTGCATAGCTATAGTAAAATGCAGTTTTGAATAAACATGATTTGTTTTTTGCCTAAAGTACATAATTTCATACATTAATTTATTTTAATTTTTTTTCGTTGTTTTACTGCCGTCAGGAATGTGTGCATATTATAGTCTTTATCTAGGTTAATAGGGTTTAAGCTAACTTAGGTGACTATAAAAACGTAAATTATTAAATAGTTTGTTGAATTTTCACTGAATAAATCGTTTGGTCAGATTTTCAATTTATTAAGAAGAGAACATTTTATTTTGTCATAATTATTTTAATTGAACTCATACTAGTTAACGCCATTTGTTTGCTCTTTTCATTAAAAAGAAAAAACTTTGAAAAAAAGAATTGCAGTGCTCTTCATTCACAATGGAAAAGTGTAGGCTGTCTGCATTTTATTTTATTGAATTGAAACAAGTGGCTGTCGAACGTTGACTGAGAGGAAATGTATGTAGTATTAATGACCGGCAAATAATAATTTCAGCATACAAGCAGGAGCAGAACTGTAATAAATGATACGATGATATTATACTATTCATACAAGCGCATTAATTACAATTATTCATATTTATTTGTGCTCTGTAACTTTTGTGTTAATTAGTGTAAATACATAGTCCTGCATGCCAATTTTGTTTCACGCTGCTCTTGTTGCGGCTTCATTGATATGCAAATGTTGAAAAGTCTAAATGAATTGGATGACAGTTGCTCAAAATGGTAATTAACATCAAGCAGCATCAGCACATCAAGGATCTGCTCAGCTGCAGACTTACGTTGAATACATTTCGTATTAAATGATGCCTCTATTTTAGGGCTTTAACTCGATAATTTTGGTTATACGCAACTGAAACGGACTAATCGCAAAGACGACCGAGGTCCAACAAATGTTTGGCATAAATTCCATTATCTAATGGATGACAATAAACAGCGTACACAAATACCCAAACACACTCACACACATAATATCAGATGTAGATACAGATATGCACATGACAGGACCTGAGACCAAGGCACATTGTCTCACATTCAAAATTAAAAGTGATGCGAGAGAATGACAAGACGATAGACAGAGATGCACACATAGAGGTTGACAGAGAGGGGGAGAAGGAGGGAGCGAGCAAGGTAGAAAACCGGTGTAAACTAATTTGAATTTATGCAAAATTGTCGACCTGCCTATAACAATGTCCAATATATGTACCTATCTTTGGGCATATCAGCTTGGCTATCACACTCGTTGAATGAAAATAAAATTAAATTTAGTGCTCTATCATGAATTTGCAATTAATTCATAGAATTTGTATTGTCGATTATTAAATTTTCCAAAAGTTAATTAATGTATTTTAATTTGAATTTTCGATTGATTTTTAAAAAATGTGTGAAAAATTATTACATATCCGAAAACTTTAATTATGTATTTGAAATATGTTTTCGCTGCTTATTTTCTTTTATATATAGTAATTCCGATTCAGGGGAGATTTGCAGCGTCGTTCAGTCAGCTGTGGAGTTTGATTTTTAATTTGTGTAATTATATATCTAAATTTTACTTTACTTTTATTAAAAACAAAGGTATTTATCTTTCGGTGTTTGACAGTTGGCATTGCTTTCTTGTTATTATTGTTGTCTGTCAGCATGTATATCTCCGTAATTAAACTGCACATTATCAGGAGAGCCACACACAGATACTTATACATATGCATTTATACGTATAACAAGCACAGACACAGTCACAGTCATCGTATAATTATGCAAGCATTTCTATCTGTGTATTCTGACCCCGCCCAGCTGTCACTTTGAGCTTTGCCCATGTGCGTCAAATTAAATTTGGCTACATTTAATTATTGTTTATGCAAGACTTGTGGGGTGCTTGTGCCCAAGATTTTACATTATAACAGCGATAATTCGCCAAATGCGTTAGTTAAAAGAGACAGGTATAAACTTGAATAAATGACGGTAATTCAAAATATCAGAAATACGAAATTTGTCAAGACAAAAATATATTTTATTCTCCAACTATTTTAAAATGGGTTTTTTATGTTTGTTTTTAAAAAATTGCAAAAAAATATTAAAGATTATTTCAACATTTTCATGAGCTTAAGTAGAATGCTTGCAGTTTTTTTTTAGGTATTCCTTATTGGTTTATTTAGAATTCCAAACACAGCAATTAGAGCTGCAAGAGAGACGACCACAAGGTTGGCATCTAATCGCGTCTTGTGTCAACATTAATCGCATAAAATGTAATTTCACAATTAAATGCAAAGACGCGATGCGTTTAGCATAAATTAACAGCATGTAAGTAGGCGCCCCAGGGTCTTCAGCTACTAAAGGGTTTGGGGCTTGGGGATTGGTTCGTTGTTCGTTTAGGTGTTGGTGAAGCCAAAATAAGCCGGCAGGCAGCGCTTCCGTTTCCTGCTTACTTCGCATACAGGTGTGGGTAGCAATTTTGCGTTTGTGTATTTATTGCAGAATGTAATTTAATTGACGTCATCGTGTAAGGCATTTAAATTAGGGTCTTAAAGATCTTAAGGTCTGTCGTGTGTTCACCTTATTAAATTCGCAAAACTATTTAGAAAAACAACTTAAAGTGCACCATCAAAAAAAGTGGATAGAAAAAAGCTGTACGCATTTATCAAAGTATATGTAGCAACAGATAAAAATGATTGGAATTAATTTCGGGCTTGTCTGAAACCAGACACAACACTTGTATTGTACTTGTGTTTTACCCTCTCACGTCCAACAATTGATTTGAAAAATTACTCAAGACGTGAGTGCAATAAATTGTGTATTTATTAAATTATATGTCTTATGATAACTCAATGCGCATCTACTTACATTTATGTACAAAATATATTTATTTATGTCTAAGTTCGCACAGTTTAATTTACAAAATAAAAAGTTTTGATAGAGTTTCCAGTAACCTTTCTTCTTTAGTAATTGTAGCTCTTAAATTACGGGATATAGGAGCTTTTGGGAATTTTTCGGGCAGGAGTGGGCACGGCCGTAAAAACTATAGAGAAGGTTCTTAGTAATCTTCCTTCGAAGTTTGGTAATTCCAGCTCTCAAATTGCGGGACATATAGGCTTTTATCGTTTTTGGGAGCAGGAATGGGCGTAGCCATAATAATGTTTTATCGATTATTAAAGGTTACCAGTAATATACCTGCCACATTTTTCGGATCTGACTCAAAAACTGCCGAAGATATAGCCATTGAAGCCATCTGAAGGAGATCACCAATCATCTACCAAGCAAATTTTGTTACTGTAGCCTGAAAATTGTGGGAGATATGTGGCCTTATCGATCTACGATTATCGATTTTATCGATTATCACTCAATTTGACACAGACCTGTATATGTTTCAAGTCTCTATTTCTAAGGGTGTTGAAAAAAGTTGCATGCGTTGCATTCATATGGACGGACAGACAGCATGACGGACATTGCATAAATCAATATGATATCTTCGATATCAGAGTATAAAACAACGCAAGCATATAATTTAAATAAAATGTAAATAAATAAATATAATAATACTTAAAATATTTTAAAGAGTACATGATATTATATTTTATGGTTATGCTTTTATATTTTTATAAATAAATTAAAAAGTAATATATATATATATAAGAATAATTAATAATTAAATAATTATTATTTAAATTTCAAATTAATAGAAACAGTACATAAGCATATAAAATAAATGATAATATAATTTTGATTACCCCTAATTGCTATTGATTTTGGCAGACGAGTTTTGCATTTAGCCATATCTAAACTATGTGATAATAACAGCTTTGGGCCGAAAATGCTAACACTACCGGTTAAGTAATCACAAGACATGCCACAAATCTCAATTAGCTTAATACACACCGGAGGTTCGTGCTTTTTAAAGAAAAAATAATAATTTTAAACGATACTTTTTAAACTCACGCATCGCTGCACAGACAGCAATGAAGTCTTTTTTATCTTTCTTCATTTTAGCGTCGACGACTTTGCCGTTAACCTTCGACGCGAAAATTGTTATTTTGTTTTTTTAATTTTACTTTTTTTCGAGCTGACAGCACAACAAGCTTAAAGGTGTCTCTCTGTTCAGTTTTTTTTTTTAGTTAACTGAGTTTGGTCAGGGCATAGCTGTGTTATGGGAGTACGGGTTTGAATTGAAGGACGTCGGCGGCAGGCAAATGAACTGCTGGAAATCTGTTGCAGTTTCCAGTTTGCATTTATACAACTGCCCAGTTACCCACACTCATGAAAAACATGGCCTAAATTTTAGTAAATCGCCATACATTTGGCGCGAATGGTGGTTCGCCCTATTTTTCAAATAGTAATTTCTAAACTTTATGTGGCTTTCAAATAATCTGGGTCTCCATTTCTAAATTTAAGGGTGGATTTTTTTAAATTTAGAAAATATATTTCTAATTTCCAATGTGTGGTTTTCTATATGAGTGTGCATTGAAGAATTAATTATATTATTATATTATATTATATTATTAATTATATTATTTTTAATCATTAGAATTTTATATAGTTTATAAATTAATATAATTTAACTTGTGTAAGGCAGACGACAGCTGAATTCCAATATAAAAGCGGAGCCACCAAATTTCATTAGTTGTTTTTTTGATTTTTAGAAAGAATTTTTTCTAATAATGGAAAATATTGAAATAAAGTTGTTTTTTGGATGGTCGATTAGGGTAAGCCTGTCTAAATTGTGGAATTTGTTTTCCTAATATTTAGAGACTTTTTCTAAAAACAGGAAAACCTTTATTTTTTTATGGTGATTTTTTGTCTGAGTGTGTCGTTAGTTATCTATTTATTCGTTTTGATGCAATTGAAGTTTAAAATGCGGGCCAATTCAGTTGCGAAGTGTAATTTGCCATTCGCAATTGCAGTTTGCCACTCACAATTTGACTGCAATTTGTTTACTCTGTCGCTGTTTTTTTGTTGTTATTACCTTTAATTGAACTTTTTCGGCTGCGCACAGAGACAAGTCACGTTCCGTTGCATTGAAAGGCGTTTATATCGTCTGTCCGTTTGTCCGCTCCTTAACTTGGATTCTCGTTCTGCACATGTTTTGCAATTGCCGTCACTTAACCACTCCGTCTGTCTGTCGGACAGGGTCAGACTGGTTTTTTTTTGTAATCGCTCAGGTAATGAACGAGTTCAAGAATAAATCTTTGAGCGGCTGTCGCTCAATAAATTTTTACCTGTTGATAGGCGATCAATTTCCAGCTGCCCAAAGACCCAAAAAGACCCGAGAAAAAGATTTGTGTGCCTACGTGACAAAATGCATGCTCGTATCACGCATTCTTTTCCAATATCCTTCAGCTTACATACATATTTTTATTTTTAATATAATTTAATAAATTTTTTACTTTTTGTATATTTTGATTTTGAGTGAAAATAAGTACCATTAATTAATTAATAAATGAAAATTAATATCTTTGACTAGTTTATAGCTAATTCTTAATCATTTTCAGTGTTAACATAAGTGCAATAAATACGTTTTAAGTTAATTATTATTAATGCATCCCAGCTCATCTATCAGTCTATATAAATTCGTTGGCATTGCTCCACTGTACAGATGGACTTGTGGCCCAGCCTGCACTTTACCAATATCAGCGCAGCGGCCATTCGCCTGGAAAAGGTAATCGAACTCGAAAACACTAATTTTGTTTCCGTCCCATATACACACATACACACACACACATACGCATTCACATATGAAACGTACCCACACGAATTATATGCATAAAATGTAAGCACAATTCCAAAATTAAACGCCGTGTTATTTTGGTTTGTTTTGATGAACAGCTGCTAATTAACCCAACACTGAGCGCTAAAAGTAAGCAACAGTCGTTAACAACAGGTAAGTAATCTCTCTCTCTCTCTCTAGTCTCGCTCTCGCTCTCACTCTCTTGATCGCTTGAGCGCTCTCTCTCTCTCTCCTAACTGTCAGCTGTTGTTTGGTTTGCTTGTCTGAGCCGAAGCTGAGCTTGGCTGAGTTGCTGTTGTTTCAGTTCACTTGAAATTCGCCGCCAAGTTGGACGCGTCGATCGATCGCTCGCTCTATTTGGACAGACTCGTCGCGTGTATGCTGCGGATTTACAGTTACATTTTTACTACTAACTTGCTGTGTGCGCTTGAATGCCAAATTTAATTGGCACCGTTGCCACAACAAACGTAAACAACTAGCGTTTAATTTGAAAAATAAAAAACAAGAAAAAAAAAACGCAAATCTTCACTTTCGTTTTTCCAACTTTCATTTTTATTTGTGCTTGCCGCAAAAAGTGTCAATACTGTGCTGTAAGACGGTGCTAAAAATCGACAGTTACAAGAAAAAAATTTAAAGAGACAAAGAAGAAGAGCAAAAATTACAATATGGCCATCATGGACACTGCTTGGCGTTGCCGTCTAATGATCTTCGGAGTGTTTTCGGTGCTGCTCGTCGGCGATCTCTTCGGCTATGGCGGCTATAGTGTGAGGGGCGTCAAATCCGATCACCACGATGAGGTGGGAGGTGTGCGGGTGCGGGCCGGGGCTGGTCCACCAACTGGACCAGCAGCAGCAGCTGGCAAGTTTCAGCAGAAGAATGCCGAAATCGACTTAGGCGAAGGTGAGTTTCAATTCCAATCATTCCAATTTGCGTTGCATTTCGAATTTTGTAAGCGAGTCGATTTTTTTCTTCAAAATGTAGGTTTTAAAACTACACTTTTTATATATACAGTTGAGGAAAAAATAATAGCACCACTATGCCATTTTCTCTTACGAATTAAAAAGCAATGCATTAGCTTTTGCAAGTTTTTAAAATGTGGTTATGTATATCTAATTTGTTTTTGGTTTTGTTTTCTTCGTTCCTCAATTCTCAACCTTTAATTATGTAATTTTAATTAAATTTAAATAAGTTGAAAACAGTGAATAAATTTTTTTTCATTCTCAGTATTTGTCATAAGTTCCTTAAGTTCCTAAATATCACAAGCTTAGAAAATGAAAAGTTTCAAAACATTTCTTGTGAAAGCGGTGCTATTATATTTTTCGAAACTGTATATATTTTTGGGTTTTTTCTTTTTTTTTTTTTTTGCTAAATTTTACACACTTTGCGCATCGCATTGCAAAATAGCTGTCTTTTTTTTGGGGCTTGCTTCATAAATTCAGCTCTGTTGTTGATTTTGCTTTATTTTGGTATTTGTATAAGTGGCGCTTTGTTTGGTCGTATCAAGGTCAGTTTCGATTTCGATTCACAAATGGAGCTTTCGTGATCAGTCGATAAAAAATGCTCTGTAAAATGCTGACAGCACGTGTAAGAAATAAAAAAAATTGCTGTACCGGTTATCCGGAATTGACTTATTTCGAGTGCTCTTATTAATATGGCTTTCGGCCAACTAGTTTAAAATTGTTTTCACAATGTTTCCATTTCGTCATACGAATTAAATGAGCCAAGTGTTGAATTTTTGGCATTTAACTTTGCAAAAGTCGTAAAGTAGCTAGTTGAATGTCTTTTCTTATGACATTATATGATATCATAGCTGAGACACGTTCTTATGTATTTTTTTTTTTCAAAAATTCAGCTCTAAACCTTTTGTTTCCCAATTTTTTTTTACAAACTTTTGTTGCGTTTCTTTATACCAAAGAAAAAAAAAAAAATACAAAAAATTATTCAACATTTTGGCGGACAAAAAAGCGTGCTCAAAAAATATTTGAAGCTATCGTATAATAAAAGAGCTGAAAGCATATTTGTATCCACTTTCCAATATGCATATTTAATGGTCTCTCATATGGGAAAGTGATATAAGAGCCGTAAATTTTATTTGCCTCTTTTTTTGTATTCCGATTCGTGTGTTTGATTATGCAATGCATGCCAATACAGCAATCAGAGGCAACCTCAATGACAAATAGAAATAAAAAAAACCTAATGAAATTCGTCGAAAGACAAAGTGCAGATCAAGTTTTTTTGCATGCAATCGATTAGCCCGATGAATATGTAGACTTTTGACCTGATTTTACAGAGAGAATCAAAGAGAATCTACGCCACGGCAAAGGTTGAATTAATTGCCAAGAGTACACAATTGATAATATGGTAATTGATAATTTTATGCTTTTGTGGCAAAGTCGCAATAAATGCATATAAAAACGGCTTGAGATGGTATTTAACTTAAAGTTGCAACTAAAAGGTCTAACTGGAATTTTACCCAGGTCATTAACATCAACTCATTTCTGGTCGGGTCTCGCTTGATTTATCATTTGGTTTCTATCTTTGTTGTTTGCCTAGGTGAAAGTGGAAATATGACAGGCAAATAAACTTCACGTAATAAAATTGGCAACAACGACAAGTGGGAAACTTGTGGAAACAGTTGCTCTCTGACTTTCCCAACGAACTAACGAGTATTTTCCAATCTTGGGTAAAATTCCGATTGTCTATTCAAAAAACTGCAGAGTAATGCTGATCATCTGAAGTTAACCGGAAATGGAAAAAGTGGGAAAACTTGACTTGATTTTGAGTTATTTATTGAATCGATTTGAGAGCTATAAAAACGCACGAAATTCTGATATATTCTTGACGTATATGCCGGCTGAAACTGGTTCCCAAATGTAAAATCATTCAAGCGCCGGTTTATAACTAATTCATTTGAAACGAGTTCAACGGAAATCGAGAGTGCCCTCGATATAGTTATGCGCTCTTGCATCATATCGATTATGCCACCCATCTAAATGCCTTGTAAATACACTCAGAAAAAAATCACCCTAAAATGCCTTAAAAAATTTGAAAGTTTTTCAATTTCTTAGAAATCATTTCTAAATATTAAGAAAATACACATCAAAAATGTAGAAAGGCTAAATCTAAATCGATAATCTTATCTGATCTAATATGTGCGATTATACCTTTTTTTTTTTTTTTTTTTTTTAGAAATATTGTCTATGATTAATAAAAATATTTTTAAAAAGCAGAAATGCAAACCCAAATTTTTGGAAAACATCCTTTCTAAAATTCAGAAACATGTAATGATGTTTACAGGCTCGACTTTTATTTGCTTTAGAGTTTGGTTATCGTTTGCCTTAGAATGTTTAATAATAATACAAGTAACAAAAAGTTAAAATAATAATTCTTCATTGTACAAATTTCAGAAATATACTTTCTGAATAATATGGTGATTAACCCTTGTCGCCAAAAGTATTTTATTGTATTTAGTCTTGGTGTTTCCTTTACAGGTTGCACTTACTAATGAGGCATCGGTGCAACTTTCGAGATGCCAGCAATGCATTAACAGTTATTGGCATTAACTGCACGTTTCTTGGCCAAGATTAATGCAGTGCGTGATAAACATGCAGAGCTTGAATTTGATTTTGAATGCATTACTTTGAGGGCTAATCAAGCCATTGAGAGTACGTGCATTTCAGCATAAAGTGTGTCATAGTACGCTTAATTGCTTTCTGATAAACACATCCAGTCAACAAATCTTAATTATCCAATATTTTTCGATTTTATATGATTTTATTGTTATTTTCACAATATTTCAGATTTAGTTTCAAGTCATTAGCTCGAGACAAAAAAAATCGAATAAAGTATGCATATGGTCATAAATTAAAAACACCACATCAATTAAAAATCCCTCCGATTATTTTGGTTGGTTTTTTGTTTACAGGTTAGACATTTGTTTTTGATTCTGGGATTTGACCAATTTTGAATGTTTTCCGCGTTGGATGCCTGACTACGTCAGTTGGTCTGGGTGATTTCTCTGATTTCTTGTTAATTGCCAATAACTGCCAGCTGGTTAAGACATCTATTTTTGTTTTTAATATTTATTCAGCACCATAATTAATTAAACTAAGCAGCGACTAAATGACTAAGCGAATATTTGTGTAGAATATTTTTCATTTGGAAAACAATAAAAATCGAAAGTTCAACGCACGGTGTGGCCTTGCTAGGGGCGAATAGTAATCAGTGTGACCAAAGCAACGTTAAGCAAAAACAAAAGTTGCACACAATCCGCAACCAAACTCCAGGCAAATATTTGACTTTGCCAGCCTTTGTCATTGCAAATAAAACAAACACATAAAATATAAAAATATTTACGTAGTTTGTCAACTTTGAATGAGGCCTGAATATATGCAAATATTTTCAATATACGTATGAATTTATTTTACGCATATAAATGATTTGCATCTGCATTTTAAAGTTGTACTCATCATATTTAAATATTTTGTTTTGGTTATTTTTCATGTGTTTCTTTTATTGATTATATTTATAGCATACTAGAAATTCTTATTTAAAAGCAAATGCGCAATATTGCTAATAATATTTATTAGGAATATTTCGATTATGAAGTCGAATTTAATATACACTGGGAAGCTTGGCATTTTGAAGTAATTAAGAGGAGTATTTTGCTGATTAGGCTAGAGGAGGCAGCTGAATATTTAATAAAGTCAATATATTTAAACTGCTTGTTAGGTGAAGTGTAGGTAATATGTGTATTAAATTTTCGGTAAAGCAAAACTTGATTTTCTTCTTGCTACATTTTGGTATTGTAGCCATGAGTTTTTTGTTTTTGTTTTTGTTTTTGTCGCACTTAGAAAGCAGTAATAAAATAAATTAGGCTGTATAAAAACACGCAATGCTAAAATTCGAATGCCAAATTGGAATGTAATGCAAAATTTAACGCATTTTACAATGATTGTTTTTAACAATTACCTACAATTTATGCACAATTTTTTAGAGCACGACTTTGATGAGTTCTCAGCGGCAGCTGCTCTGAAGCCGGCGCCAGGTGGTGTTTTGACGGGAGCCAACCTGAAGACGAAGTCACAGCTGACGGATACGATCAAGGAATCGTGTCTGCCCAAAATGCTATGCGAACTGGCCGCCAAGCCGGACTATCAGCTGAGCGAAAAGGAGAGGGAGCTGCTCAGATTAATAAGGTATGTAAGCAAGTCGTGACTTTCCCCAAAACGAGCAGAAAGATCAAAGATCAGAGTTTATACATTCAGTGTAGACTTTTGACGCCAATTTAAAAGATAAATTTTTACAATTTTTGTACCTCGGTTGGGGCTTTCGAAAAACTACATTTCCGATTTCTAAATTTCACGGTGGATTTTTTTTAAATTTACCAAAAATCTGTCTAATTTCCAGTTTTTTTGTTACTTATATTAGTATTAAATATTCGTATTTTTAGACGCCAAATGTGCACAAACATTTTACATAGCTTACAAATTCATAGCTAATAATAATAATTTAATTTGAAAAAACTCGGCTTAAGACAGACGACTGCTAAAGTCTAATACAAAAGCCTATCCAGTAAATTCAAAATAATTTGTGCTGAATTTTGAATGGATTTTTTTTACAAAAATTAGGTTTGCATAGCTTTTTAGAAATATTTTTCTTAATATTACAAAATATTTCAAAAATTATAAAATTAGATTGTCGATTTAGAGCTTCTATACTTTTTAAAATTTCAAAAAATTAAAAAACTATATATTTCAAAGGGCGATTTTTATTTAGGGGCCACTAACTGAAGTTTATAGCGATTTTTTTTTCTGAGTGTAGCGTTGCTTAACTTTTAACTTGACAGTTGGCACACGACCCCTTTTAACTGCCGTCCACAATTACTAAAAACATTTAATTTGCGTTTGTTGCTTGTCTGTTACTTGTTTGTTGATCTCTGCTGCCTGCTGGGGATGTTCATTGAACTTGTTGCACGTGTGTTGAGATGCGAGAGCTTAACAAGAGCTTTGAGGCTGAACCAAATCGAATGCAAACAATGCCAGCCAGCATCAAGTTGTGCAATATAGGTGTCTATATCAAAACGGGTCTGCTCGTAATTCGAAATCGGCCTCCAGTGAAATATAACCTACCTCACTCACATAACACAGACTCGCTGAGTAAACTCAAATGTTTTGTAACCTCGCACTTGAGTCGAAGGTGAGCGCAGCGACGTAAGAAACTGTTTGACTGACTTGACTACACTGAGTCGTTGTAGTAGTAACATATACAATTCTATTCAGTTGATTTATATCTACAAGGTGTTTCAGAAAAGTGAATTTCCAAAAACCCTGAAAGATGTTGTCTTTATTATGCTAACTTCCGTCTTATTTATGTGCTTATTTTTATTATTTTTTTTGGGCTCTTGCAGATCACCCACGATGCCCTGGATGATGAATATGCCGCCCAGCAAATGGTATTTTGCTGCTCATATGGGCGAGCTAATGCGACACACTGGCGACAATCTGAGCGGACCCATGGGCTGTGCCAATCTCTGGCCGAGTTGTCCCATTAGCTCCAAGAAGCTAATGAAGCTCAGCTACAAGGTTCGCGTTTAGACGTGTGACTGTAAATGTGATCATATATATATGTATATATATATATACAGTAATTTAAGTATTAGTTATATATAAACACACACTGGGCCCTATGCTGAACAGACTCAACTATTGTACTATATATGTTTCAACTGGCCTTCAGTTTTCTTTTGCATAATGGAGCAGCGTGTGGCAGCATGACTGATGTGACAATTTGCAACTTGAATCTATTAGCTGTAAGTCCTAAGTAGTCATTTAAGTGTGGCTAGTCTGTCTCTGAATAATATGTTAGCTTAGCATTATGCCTAAGGTTAGTTCGACTCGCGTCTAATTGTAAATAAATGCATATCGTTATTTTTAGCTTAAATCCATTTTGTTTTTGTGTTTTTCATTGTATTCTTACTAATGATCGTTTTAAATAACGCTGTGTCATCGTTGGGCATTATAATGGAATGTTTTCGAAATTGTTTTCTTAAGTGCTTTTAAGTGCTAGGAAATGTCGAATTGTAATTCGTGTGACGAATTTTCATACCTCTGATTAAAATCAAGTTTGTAACGTTAACAAATCTGAAAATCACGCTTTTTAAAGAGTGAGTTAACATTTAACTTTGATTTCAATCATGCCATCCACATAATGATTGGTTTTTTTTTGCAGCACTATCTTAATAATAGTATTTAAAACTGACTTCCTCATCAAAATTATAATACTTTATTTTATTTCACATGATTTGTGCTTTGAATCTCCTTATAATTGTAAGTTTAATGGATGGAAAATTTGTAAGAGATGTTTTGAGTGGTTGGTTTATTTATTATTTGCGCCTTGATGATACACCTGGTTATCATCTGTTGAATTCGTTTGTACAATTATAAAAGGGTACAATACAATAAATACTGACAATATAAATACTGAGGGTCAGTTAAAAAGTCGGAAAACGTTCTTGTCAAATATGGTTGTTATTTAACTCTCCTATTTTATATTACTTGACATAAAATGATTGTTGACATGTTAACAATTCATCATGAACATTTATTTTCATATACATACAAATTATAATACACTTTGAATTTCAGCATATTAATTTTAATTGAAATTTGCAATGTGTCAAATATCAAATAAACGTTGAGTTCGATCAGATCTTTCGATTTTGTACAAGCTTTTTTATTTCAATATCAAGTTGACTTGATGGCAATAAGAGTTCATGGCATTTTTGCACAAATGCAAAAACAAAGCTCTTCTACTGAATATATAGAATGTTCACTGATATATTTTGATGATATCACACAGCCAGAACGATGAAATGTGTTTTTATTATTTAGATATCTCTGCTAAGCAAACCAAACCAAACCAAACTTGTTATGCATGAGTTTTATAGTTTAATATTGAAAATGTCTGAGGACTAATAATTTTCGAGTTATATATTAGCATTAGAGCATTTGTGAACTCATATTTAACTGCAAAAAAGGTACAATTCACAAATGAGCAAAAGGAATAAATAATGATAACAAGTTATTCATTTTAATGCTTCGTAACTAATTTGCGGTGTTTAGTTGGCTGACGTAGATGTGAGTAACACTCTACGAAAAGCAATTACACTTGCTTATTTTTGTTACACACAAAGCATTTGGGAACAACAGCAAAAAGCTTTAAAATCAATATTTAAGAGATATTGGTCTTTGTTTTCCATTTAACACATTCATCAGTGTTCATTTCTGTTTGTTTCATTTTCTCAAAGTAAACATATTGCATATTGTTGAGTAAATATATTTTATTAACAAAATTCGCGAAACGACGTTAGTTATCGTTAACTCTTAATTAGACTTGTTACGAGAACTTTGAATTTTTCACCTTTTTTTCCAATGCATTATTCGACATTATTTGCTTTGTTATTTGCTTATTAATATATTAAATCATAAATATTATAATTCTATTTTATTATAGTATATTAAAATAAATTCGAGTGATTTAAGATTTATTAATTATGGCCAGTAATTTTAATGGTAACACTTTAATTAAAATGTATGTTGGGATTGTTTTCATCAGTTCAAGTGTGATGTCAAAGTGAATCTCTATGTTTGCAGATATGTAAATCCTTTTTTCCAGTGCATACTTTTTGGCGCCATGCCAAAAAAAACAACGACCCACAAAAAACGATATCTATTAATATGCAAATCATTCGCTGGAATGCTCGCTGGCATTGCACACTTCCAATGCAAATGTACTAAAAAGCCAAAGCAATAATTGCTTATGATGTTTGCCTCATTGGACATGCCAAAGCCGTCAATACGACCACACACCAAATCAGAAGAAGTTGAGCGAAATTGCTGGGTTGTGTTAAACATATTTAATTGCAAATTAAGTTGTTGATCAACAGGCAAATATAGCTAGAAAGTAAACAACTCGTTTCGAGGAACAATTCTAATGGCCAAGTCATAAATAAGTCAGCGACACGCGTTTGTTTTTCATTTTTTGCTCTTTTGCTCGTAAATATGGTATAATAATTAACTCACTGGTTGGAAGCATTGGACATGTTGATGCACGTATATATAATATAATAATTATCATGGCTCCTCGAAGTCGTTGCATTTAGCAAAGTGTTTCGATGGCTGTTGCAAAAGCCCAAATGAAAATGGGTCAGAAACAAAAGCGAAAACGAAAACAATTATGAAATAACAGTTTTTGCCTTCATTGGATGGCTTAACAAAAACAATAAAAGTAAACAATTTGTAATATCAATGGAATTGGGTCAGTTTGCCAGTAGTTGTTACGCTCGTTGCGTGCCAAAAGTGGACCCCGGCGCACTTTCATTGTTTTTTACCCGGCGGTCCGATTTTGGGATAGACCAGCACTTTAAAATTTTGCCTGATGTTTGACAAGTTGTTTGTTGTTGTTTCGTTGTCTGTTGCTCGTTGTTCACGGTTTGTTGTGCAATGGCAGACAAGTGCAGCTTTTGGGCAGAGCGTACTCGTAAAATCATTTTCAACAGCAGCAAATGCCGGCACTCAAACTTCTATCAATTTGTCAGGTTGCCTAACATTTCCGCATTGCATTTGCCAAAAAAAAGACAAAAACAAATGCATTAAAAAACAACAAACAAAAGAAAGGCGAACGCTCTCTAACCAAACATCACAGTTCCCCGCCAAATCCGGGTCTGCGAGCGTGCAACCAAAACGGCAACAAGTGCCACGCAACTGGAAAAACTTGAAAATTATACGGGCAGTAGTCTAGTAGAAAACGCAAAAAGAATGCTGATCGAATTTGAAATACACTTTCAGCAGACAAAATGCCACATTTAATGCTAAATCGATGCTTCCCCAAATGGGTATGTTTAATACAACTTTAACTCACTGCTTGGCAGCATTGGACATATTGATGCAGTTTCTAGGAGAATACATAAAAGACCCAGACCAAGTCACTACAGGTAACTATGACTGTTTCTAGAAAACCACACACTTAATATCATCCCCGAAGCTATTCTTTGATTTATGTTTAGACTGTAAATGATCACTATTAACTTAAATTCTGATTATTCAAAAAAATTAATTAAACGTATTATTTATTATTATTTAAATTTAATTCTAATGACTAATCTTAGTTCTTATCTACGCATGTGCTTTTTATTACAACATTAAAAATAGCCCGTAAAATGCTAAAATGGTAAAAAAAAAAAAAATAAATAAAACATTTTCATGTTATTGTTAATTTTCGTATTTATTTTTTTTGTATTGATTGAATATCAGTCAACACAGAAAACTACCAAAAGTAAAAAAACTAACTAAATTAAATTAAAAATAAAAAGTAATATTTAACTTTGATATAAAAACTCGTGCAAAATTTTTTGCACAGATTGGGGAAGACCCAGAGAAATTATATATAAGTAAATAAATTTTGAAGGTAATTTTTAACTAATTTTAGAAGCTATAGTTTTCCAAGTTGATAAGTTAGACGAGTTTTTGAAAGGGTATGCGAGAGTCGCTCTTACAATACCTATATTAGTAGGAGTAGATGCAAATCGACGGCAATGTGTGCAGCAAATGTAAGCCAGTCTAAGAGTGGGAGCTAAGAGCTGTTGCAGAGTTGCAGCTGTGTAATTGCGGCTTTATGAGGCGCCGCCTTTCGTAACCGGGCAACCGTCGACTAAGTGAAAGAACCGCCGACTTGTCGGTCAAGACTAGGCTTGGTAAACTTATCGACCCACTGATTGAATCGGTATTGTGACTGTTCTTTGTTTATGCTGTTAATGGACTCAATTGTCGTGCTAACTGTAAGCACTGCTAGCTGGCCAACTGACTTAACTGATTGCTCATTTTCTTGCAGTCTTTATAAACTGGGTTCTCACAAGCCGTAACTTGTTTTACTTGTTCTTTTCCACCTTATGCGTCCAGTTTATTATGGTTTATTATCGTTTATTATACATGTTATAAATGAGTTTGTAATTGAAAGTCGTGGGGCACATTAATACAACAAGTTACTCGCAGCAGTAAGCGTGGACAATGGCACGTGCTCCAAAGATCTGACCACGCACCTGACAAATGGTTGGGCAAACAATGGCTTAAGTTGTCTTACTAAAATTATCGACGAATTGTGTTAAATGGCCAAATAAACACAATTGTCAAATACATTTTTTGCTGCTCAGGTGCCGAAATTTAAGTTGAATGCTGTTGCGAGTCGCGGCACTTGCTGCAGATTGGGAATTACTTGATAAGATATATTAAAAAAATAGTTATTATTATTATAAGTAGTGGTCAATAAATTCGAGATTCCTCTTTGTTTATCTATTAAGTATATGTAAAAAAATACAAATAGTTAAATTGTAAGTACTTATGAGCTACATTTGACTATTATTGCAAGTGTTGCAACAATATTGTGTTTGAAAAAAGTGACAAGCCAACAATGTATTAGAGACTAATATGAGAAGTATTGGAATATCTTTTAGCACATCTCCCCTTAAGCATTAGTAAACCACTTAATTTATTTATTAATTCAGCATTAGTAAACCACTTAATTTATTTATTAATTCAAGTCGAAAGAAATTTAAGTTCTGGGACGTTAAGTAGATGCATTTAAATCTTATCAATATTTCTTATTTTGATAATTCAAATTCACTACTAAATTTTATTACTGAAATAATTTAATAAATAAACAAATAAATAAAGTAATGTATTTATCCGATTCCATTTCCGGTTTGTTAAACCTGACGCACTGATTTATTTAATGTCGATTAATATCAGTCGATACAGAAGAATACATAAGATAAATGACAAAATGCATTTGTTTTTAATGAAACAAAAACAATTGTTATTAATAGAAATGCCTGTTTTTGACTCGTCGCGCAGTAGATCACTTAACCAGCTAACGGAAACGAGCCGGGGTCTGGTCATTTTGTGGCTGTAACGAATGCAAATTGAGTAACTGATATGCAAAGCCAACTGTAACGCATACCAGACGGTAGACACTCCAAATGCCTTAATCAAAAGGAAATCACAAGTGCAAAAGTAACGGCCACAAAAATGGAAAATTTCATAACTTTTCATAATTGCAGCCAGACAAAAGAGAGAGGTAGCTAAATACAAAAGAGCCAGATAGAGAGAGAGACTGGGCAAACAGCTGAGCAGCAGCTTGTTTGTCTGCTTTTTTTTTTTTGAGGTGTTGTTGTTTACACACAGTTACACACACACGCACACACACACACACACATCCGTACACACCCATGCATAAGTAAGTAGGCTCGTCCGGCACCCTCCACTTGACCACATTGCCTCACTTTCACTTGTCTTTGGCTTCTTTTGCTTCCGCACGAAACTTGGTCAAAATGCAAAGCAAACTTGGCCGCCAAGTTTACACAGCGCGAAGAGAGCATTTTTCTTCTTTTTTTTTTGCTATGAATTGTTTATTTTTTGTTGCTGTAGTTTACACTTAAGTTTTGTCATCCTCTCTCTCTTTGGTTTAGTTATTTTTGTTTGTGTCTGCTGCGCTTTGGCGGCTCGAAGCGGACCCAAGTCGCTTCAGTCACTCAAAGACCTGAAGCGCACCAAGTTGTTGCCTCGGCTTCCATTTCGATTGTCTGGATAGTATATACATATATATAGAGTAAACAGTATGAATCTACGTTACATTTGCACATTGTCACTGCTGCCCACACTCTATGTGCTGCTTGTCCTGCTGCTGGAGTATGTGGAGGAGGGTCTCGCCCAGAATCCGGATCCGTTGTTCGAGCTGCCCGTGCAGTTGGTCGGTTTTCCGGTGATTGTCCTCTCCGTGCGTCTGTCGCAGTTTGCCAAAAAGTTGGCCTACTCCCTCAATCCAAGTAAGTCCCCAAATGGCGACCCTTTGTCTTTGGTGTGAAAGTGCAACTGCCGCCTTGTGGCATGATTCAGCTTATTGGGCGTTTAATTTCTTTTCGTTAAGTGAAAGTCAAAACTTGTGCATAAATTAATAATTTGGCATTGTTAAAATCGGGTTGTGTGTGTTGCGAAACTTTAAAGAAAACTCACTGGACAATCATAATAATGATATCAAAAAAGAAATTTATTTAAATGCTCTTTAAAAATAAGCTATTCATTTGTGTGGAATCTTAAATGCACAGCAACAAAAACTTTCATACAGAAAAATTGTCTCATAGACAACTCCATATTGACTCTGCCATTGATACTGATCAAGATTACTTTATACTTTGTGTAGGATTAGACAAAAGTATATATATTAAAACTATGAGCTAATTTTTTTTAAGAAATAACAATTATAACAAAAACCAGACCCTTGAAATTTCGGTCGCTTTAAAGACTCTGTTAATTATATATCTCGTTTATAAAAGTCATTGAGCCATAAAAAAACTTACTGTAAGTTCGTAAAACAATTTTAAAATGATCTGTCGGTTATAACACATAAAACATTATGTTGAAAATAATTGAAAATACAAAAATAAAAAATAAATAACGATTATCGTAGCGGAGTTAACCTGCTGACATCTAAATTATAGTTCAAAGTTTGAAATATTATTAAACGCACTTAGGTTCTTAAACAAATTTTATTTATAGTTGAAATAAACTTTTTTCACGTTATTTTTTTATTTTATTTTTATTACAAGAATTTTAGTCTTACAAAATATTTAAGAGAAATTCGTTCAAAATAAATAGTTTTGTGAAGATCATGTATCATTTAGGTATCCGACACTTAATACCTTTATGTTTTGGCATTGTGATTGTTCTTATGGTCAGCTCCGATCTATACACTTCATACAGACAGTTGGGCGATGCTGATCCAAAATATATTTACAATATACAATATAATATTCCAACGAGACAATAAATTTATAATACCTTCAGCAAGATTATAAATAAATAAGAGAAGTTCAACTAAAATAAAATTAAACTTAAGCACTTATGACATTTATTATTTAACTGCCTAACTAACTAACTGTAACAACATAACACGATCGCACACAGCACGAGTCTGTCTTACAACATTTGTTGACAAAAGCCAAGTTCCTCAGTTGACTCTGGTCTCAACTTGGCAGTCAGCGCATCGCTGAAAACCAGACCCAAAAGTGTGACAAAAAAGGCGGGCGAGCGGCTCAAATGCCAGAGGCTGGCTTGCTGGCTGGTTGGTTGGATGGCCGCTTGGCTGGTTGGCTGGCGAATTGGCTAGCCTCGTGCACGTCCACTTAGCCAGACCAAAATGGGGTCAAGGCTGGCAACGCGACAACTGAAGTCAGCCAAGTGTATGTTAGCCGGAATATTTTACAATCAGACGTGTAGCTAAATTGTGAGTTGAATTGCTGCCAACAATTTATTTGGGCAAATCCATTACGAAGTGCCTGATGACAAGCAATGATGAGCAGCAGGGAAAAAACCAAAGCTACACTCACAAAAACAATCGCCCCAAATTGTAGTAAATTGTCTTACTTTTGGCGCCAATGGCTAGTCACCTTATTATTCAGAATGTAAATTTCTGAGATTTATGTTGTAGCTTTCTAAAAAACACGGTTTTGATTTTTAAATTTTCAGGATGGATTTTTATAAAATTTGGAAAAGTGTCTAATTTTCATGTTGTGTTTTCTAAATTTTTTTTGGTACTTATATTATAATTAAACATATTTTAAGACTTCACATATAAAGTAAATTTCATTAATTGCTTCTGAATTTTAGAAAGGATTTTTTCTGAGAAATTTTTTTAATAAGAGAAAATATTTCTAAAAAAAGATTCAATAGCCATATTTTTTTATTATCGTTTTAAGGCAAGCTTTTCTTAATTTTAGAATTTTTTTTTTCAATATATAAGAGTTGTTTCATTTCAAAGCGATTATTTTTCTGAGTGTACTCATTTGGCTGAGTTGCACTCTCAACTCCTCCGGCAAACTTGTGCAATCAGCCACGCATCAGACGCTGGCAAACTTTGGCATTCCCATCTGCTGCCACTTTGACTAATTTCGCGTTCTATAAGCAAACAGTCAACTCCTAAGTACGACTATAAAACTTCTCCTTTTCGCCACTCTTTGCAGATACGTACCGTGCGCGGAGTAAACGTGACGCAGCCCATCCGCTGGCCCTCGACGCGGAGCTGGCCCAGAAGCAGATCCAGCTCGAATTCGGTCTACAGGCTTGCATCCTCGAGGAGCCTTGTCGCGTGCACGCCTCCCGTTCAGCCAGTCAACGGCGTCCGGGCAACGAGGGCAAGGCTGCCGCACATGCACCCTGGTCAGAGGTCTTGAGGTAGGTCAAAGTCTTTACTACTTGTAAAGGGTATGCAACATGTTGGTGATGGTGATTTTGTAACTGAAGTTAGCGCTAACTCTGACTAAAGTGTGACTTTAAAGTGTTGGAGACTCGTCTATAATGGTTTCGATAAATCATAGCAATAAATATAAAATACTCGGGGGGAATTTCTAGCACATATTTTACGAATATTGAACAGAATGTTGTCAATTATGGGAAATTATACAGGCAATATAATTTACAAACTATAGACATTTAATGTTGATAGTGGAATCATACTATCAATTATAATTTTGATCTCAATAATCTTTTATTTGAATTTGTAGTATCTGCAAAATATTTCATCATAATTTTTGGTGCATTCTTATTCAAATAAAATTTTTAGCCATTTCCTTGTGCTTTAAGTATTAAACGTATTAAATCTTCAAAGAAACACTTAAAGCTAATTGAGATTAGTATATTTCTAATTAGTTTATTACTAATACGTTTCTCTTCAGAGTCGAATGCATAGAGCATCTGAACTGCGGCTTTGGAAGAACTTGTTTAATTTTCTTAGTTATTTCTTGTTCGAGTGGAACGCTGACTTTATGGCTTCCCAACTGGCAACTGGCAACTGGCAACTGGCAGACAGTAACAACTTGAACTTTTCTCTCTTCTCTCACCCTATTCTCTTGGTTCTCCTTCTCTTGCGCATTTGGCTCATTCCCGTGGTTGACGTTCTCCTCCATTTGAAGCATCTCAGATTGCATTTGTTATTGCAACGTTGCAATTTGGCGCTGCTGTTGTTGTTCTTGTCATTTGGCAAATGAATGACTTGTTTTTAGCTCAAAATGTTTTCCAATCAATTTTTATTGTTGTATGTATTCCTCTATTGCCCTGTACAGTGTTCAGTTCATTGTCATTGTCATTGGCAATGCTAACTCATCTGCGCATAATTTAATGTCTTCTCCCATTCTGGCAGTCTGCAGCTGAATTCACGTACTTGTTACTCGCAAAGTTTAAATGTGCATGTCATCATTGGCTTTGGATTTCAATTTGTAAGTTTACATAAATTTGTGAGTTCCTAATGAGTTAGTTGCCCTTGCTGCATTCGCTATTGTCATGGTAATGCAATGCAACTTGTTGTTTGCACGACGTTTTTCAACTTGAGGAAATTATTCTTTTCCGCACTGGTTTTCATTTGCGTCTTCCCTCTTTTATCTTGGCACTTTGAAAACCCGTCTCGCTTTGCTCTGATTCATAATTAATTCTTTTTGCTTCTTTTATTACAATTCCCATAATAATAAAGGAAGTCTTAAAGTTTCGGACTGGCTGCTGCTCAGCTGAGATACTAAATATTTACTAATATCTGCAGTAGCCAACTCTTTGAAATATTTAATACTTGTTTATTTTTGGCAAACAAAAGATAGTTTAAAAGCGTTAGCATAGAAATCTATAGCATACGTGTCGTATGCGCAACATTTGGCATTCATAGTTTCGGCCATTGTTGTAAATTTCATTTAATATTGTGTCATATCGCACTCGCCTCAGCCCCAAATGTGTTGCACATGCATCTGACATTTTCACACTTAACATGCAAAATTTTCAACACTCAAAGTTTCTTTGCCACACCCCGTTTGGTCTCTGACCAGACCCAGACCCAGACCCAGACCCCGTGGCAGCTATCCTGGCAAGACCCAAGTGCTATGCCCCAACGTGTCAAGAGCAAATATTCAAAATTATTTTTGAAATGTGCTCAACGTCTGTCGTTTGTCGGTTTGTTGGTTTGTTTCTCCTGTCCCCCCTGTCCCTGCACCTCTGCCTTCACCTTCCTTCTTGTTTGTTTAGTTTTGCGTTGCGCTGCAAATGTAATTGGCATTAGAAGTTTTGTTCGTTTGCCCACGACGTGTTTTGTAATAATAAAATATGATTAAAGTTTTTGATTAAATTTATGCAAGCACACAGCGGGGAACGCTTTCAGCTCTGTTTCTCAGTTTGTGCATTGGTCAGTTATATTTTCGATGCTGTTGCACCTTTTGCGCTTGCCACACTCGTCTCTCTCTCCTTCATATCTGTGCCCGGGGGCACTGCAGATGTGTTTGTTACTGAGTTGATTAAATTATCCCATGGCAGACGTGTGAAATTTGAGTGTGTGTCTGCTGACCAAAGGATCGCACAACAAAGTAATCAGCAAACAAATTTTGATACACTGGGATGCTGATACCTAAAGATGTGTCTAATTGACGAAAAACAAAATATAATTACAAAAAAATGAAAGAAATGAAAAGCTGACCTTTGTTCAAAAAATCATATATGTTAATCAAATTAATTAAATTTCCCGAGTTGATGAATTTCTTCACAAATATTGGTACTTTAAAAACTTAGTTACTTGACTTGATTTCAATGGGTGATTAACTTTTGTTGCAGGTATTTTGTGCTTGCATTTATTTGACATTTTTATATACATTTTTTCTACTAAAGTATTTGTAAATATTTTTTGGTGCCTAATCAATTTTTAATGTGGTTTAAGAAATAAAAACATAGAAAGTGAGCGTCATCAAATGTGCTCAAAAATAATTACTTTTGAGTATTGTAAAGTTCTCAGTATTTGCATATTATAAATTTATTGACAATAACTAATGTTATGATTTATGTACAGTTGCGTAAAAACAATAGCACCACTCTCACAAGAAGTGTTTTCAAAGATGACTTAGTTTAGGGAACTTATGAATATGTTTTTAGAAGTCGAAGAGGGTTAAAAAAAAATAACATAAATAACTCTAATTTTATTCACCGTTTTCAACTTTTTATTTTTTATTTAATTAAAATTAAAATTAAAAAAAATTTAATTTTATGAAGGAGGAAGAAAATGAATGAAAAGTATAATTGCACTATTTATCAAATGTGCAGGTATAATTATGAAAATTATAAGTAAATAATCGATGCAATATATATATTGTTTAATATTCCCACTTTAAATTAAAGTTAGTACTGCTCCTGGAATTATTTTCAATAAATATATAAATATATAATTTGGGGGGAATACTAAACATTAAACGAAAAATCAACCTCTGAAAATATTGCAAAACAAATGGCTTGTTTTTTTTCAATCATAAGGTAGAAAAATATAATCATTGTTCGCAACTGTAATAGATAGCTTTAAGTAAACGGATATCATGATATGCAAACTGATTAACAAAAAAACATATTCATAATACAACACAAGTCTCTAACATGTCATTCACTTCAACCCATACCGTAAAATCTGTGAGTCTTGGTGCTGTCCCAAAAGGCATCTCAACCCACTTGCTGCCCTGCAAGAGTGAAGTGCAAATTACTTTGGTTTTTAATATGGTCCTGGACCAGGACTTGGATTGGGTTTTGGTGGTGGAGCCTTGTGTATTTTACTCGCTACTTATAAGTAATTATTTTTGTAATCCGCTTTCGTTGCCGACTATTGTGCCCGATGATGATGATGATGATGATGATGATGATGATGATGGCTGACTGGAAACAACTCCTCTGTGCAAACATGCTACATGCCACTCAGGAACTACAAAGTGCAATCAACCGGAGGCATGAAACAATGGTATCTGCTCTCGCTCTTCATCGGCGATGCTGTGCGGGATGTGCCGCTCTGCAAGCACCTGGCCAAAAGGATGCCATGTCCAGGAGCTGGACCACTGCCGCCTCCACAGCCACGATAAGGACTATCTAGCACTCCAAAAATGGGCGGGCTTTCGTTTTTTTTTAGTTGTAGGGGGGCTCTCTCTGCATCATCGCATCGTGTAGTCAGTCACAGTCAACTGCATGGACATCTTTGTTACATACTTTCCAACTCCAACTACGTCTATCTTCACTCTTCATCAATTCGTACTGTTAGTTGTTTTTAGGGGTTATAATTTAAACGACAGACAGCATAGGCTTAGACTTAAGTAAGTATGTATGAAGAATAAGCAAATAAATCAACAAACAAAAATCAACCGAAAATTTTATGTGCATATGCTGTGGCATGCCTGCGCTTTTAAGAGCACATCCTCCCTCCATCGCAGTCCAGTTCGAAATGTTGCTCGGACAATGCATTTTACGCCCCACACCACAACACACACTACATCCACTCTCAAACACACACACACTTCACTTGCTAGCCATTATTCTGGGTTGCAGGCAAAAATTGATACGCCAAAAAGCATGCAACGTGCAACGGAAAAAAACAGTTGCATACTTTTCAGCGGCCCTCACAAATTGTTGACGCAAGGCATTAAGCCACAGACTTGTTCCGAATACCCTTTAAACTTGCTGAGGTGCCATGATGAACTGCCACATAATTGAAATAAACCTAAGATTTAAATAAAAATATAATGTCATTAAGTAAACAAAATAGAATATGGCAAATCATTCCAAAATAAAAAAAATGAACTTAATATTAAAGTAAAGCTTATAAAATGGAATTATCGATTTTAATATTGAATATGGGAGCTAGTCCTTTAAAACTCAAAAATACAACAGTAGAATTGAGTGATTAAGTAAATATATTGAATTATGGTATTTAATTAAGAAAATATGAGATCATTCCAAAATAAAAATGGAATTTAATACTAATAATAGATTATGGGAGCTCATGCAACAATAAATAAGTTAGAGCTTAATTTTGTGGAAGTCATTCCCTGATTAGGGAGTATTCCATAGTCTACCCCTTTCAGTTGTGTTACAGCTCAACTTCTTGCTTTATTTGTGGCTCTCGTTTGTTGCGCTACGCGTACAGCAACTACAGCTTTTGGTGAAATACACAACGCTAACCATAACCCGTGCCCCCAATGGGGGCAACTCCGACCACCAGGCGCTTTGCTTTGCTATTTATTAACTCGTTGCATATGTTTGCAGGCACTATTGAGAGTGCTGTAAATAAAGCGACACGACAGCGTCGCAATGTAGACAAGGGCAACAACAACAACAAGCGCTGCTTTGAGCTTTGGTGACGTTGACAACCCTGCTCTGTGTGCTGGCGCACAAAAATATGCTGCACTTTTTTGCACTTTGCATATTTGTGTGATTTGGCTGTGGCTCTCCATGAAGTCGGAGCCTGGCAAAACGTTCGCCCCATTTGGGGAAAGAAAAAACGAAAACGAATCTGAAATTGTGTGCGGGTTATTTTATTTGTATTTTTTTTTGGTTGTTTGTTCCGCGTTTTATCACATTTAATTTTTCAAACGTATTCCCAGCGATGACGCCGTTTGTCTCTGGATTTATGTGCCATTTCTTTTGCATATTTCATTTGATCGCTCTGCTTGTTGATTTGCTGAACAAACAATGCCAGTCAGATTGAAGATTTCTCGTTTTGTGTATTCTTTCGGTTTTTTTATTATTTAAAAACGAATTTAATAAATATTTTAAAGCATTGAAGCGATAACAATTATGTACAATACTAAAATTAATGGGAACTGCCTGGCGACTGTTAATAGTTAGTAGTGTATATATATAAATATATATATGCTAGATATACCCTAGAAAATTCATCCACTACCCAGATACACTTTGCGTCCATCGGGTTTAATATAATACTCCGTCACGCCCTTTGAGTTGTTCACATATATATTCTTATCATCCTCGTGCTTGGGTCTCCTCGTCGAGGTCGTCTGATAGGCGCTGCTATATCGGTTATCGCTAATGTAGTTTGCATTGGGATAGTTGTAATGGGGATTGTAATGTGGATTGTAGGTGGGCGTGTCATTCGAATCGGAGAATCGCACAGTATTCCCTGGCATGTACTCCCCGTAGTTCATAAAACTGTGCTGGGCACTCGTCTGATAGTCTGTCGACGTCTCCTCCAGGCGATAATAGGAACTGGGTCGATGCTCGTCGCTGACCACAAAGCGCTGCTCCTTCTCCTCGGCACGATTATTGTAGTCGTAGGTGGGTGCATAGGTGGGTCGATTGAGGATCTTGCCACGGCGTATGTGTCTCTCGTAGTGATCGGGAAAGAGGACTCGAGCACCGCGTTGAGGTGGTGCTGACTCCTCATAGACAGCATTCAGTGGTGCATGTTGTTCCCTTTGATCCTGTTGCTCTTCTCTCAATCTTGCCTCTCTGACTTGCTCCTCCCTTAATTGTTCCTCTCTCACACTTTGTTGCTCTTCTCTAAGCCATGCTTCCCTCAATTGTTCTTCCCTCAATCGATCTGCTTCTTCAGCTATTTGCTCTTCTCGGAGACGTTCGTCACTCAACTCGTCGAGGTGCTGATTGGTGTCCTTGAACACAATACGCTTGCCACGCCTCTTTTCCACGCTATAATCCTCGAGGGCTAATCCATTTGGCAGCACAGCTGCCCATCCCTCAGTCAGTTGTTGTCTTTTGGCCTCGTCTTGGTCCTGGGGAAATCTCAATTTACGTTGAGCTGCAACCCGATTGAATTCATAGATAACTTTGCTCTGGCTGTCATTCTGATCTTCCGGAAATCGCACAGCTCCATTGTCATTGTTGTTGTTGTGTTCCTCGCTTTCAATGTTCTTGAAGTGCAGTATTCGACCCTCACCAGCATCTTCGGGAAATTGCAGCACACCTATCAGTTCGGTGTGTGCCTGGGCTGCCTCCGCCTCGTCATCATCTTGAAACCTGACTGGTGTCTGCGTATCCAAGTCGTCTTCTTCATCGTGAAAATCCAGGGGCATCAAGCGACCATTATCCGTTTGAATGCTGCGTTTAATTTCCGTTGGCAACAGACTCCTTCGCCTCCGTCTCCTTTGATACTCGACGCCATTCAAATACTCGGACAGCACTTGGGTAAAGAAACTGCCAATGCCATTCGCGATGTCCGTGCTCGGTCTTTGCGTGGGTCGCGCCACTGGACGTGGTGTTGTACGCGTCACTTGCCCTTGCCCCTGCCCCAGCCCCAGTCCCTGGCCGCCGCCTGTCAGCGCTGAGAGTATGCTGAACAATGAGCTGCCGCCAGAATCGCCAGATTGTTGTGCCAGAGTTGCTGGTTGCTCTTCCGGTTCGCTGAAGAACTTAAAGAAACCGCCGCGATGATTGTTCAGATAGTGAATGATTTCCATCTATTTAAGAGCCAGACAGTTTGAAGTTTTTAATAATCATTAAACACCCCTGATTGGTATGCCAACAGCCAGCTTACCTCATTCTTTGGACATTTCTCGTAGGTCTGGACGCAGCTTCGTTCGCCGCCGCTAATTCCTAGCAGCGCAGCTCGTCCATAAATCAGAGCAGGTGAGGCGACTGGGAACCCAGCGAGGAAGCTGTCCGCAATGAAACGAAAATGAACAGATTAGAAAAACTTTCACAGAATACAAGAATTAAGTATTTATAATTAATTATTTATTAATAATAAATTGAAAAGGGGCAAAGCCGAAAAGAGTTGTACGCATCTATCCTTAGCTTAAATTTAATTTAAGACTATTAGATTTGTGCAACATTTTACAGCTACTTTGTTTTAACACTATCTTTCACTAAGTGGAACCTAATATTTTAAATGCTTTATTGCTTCATTATACGGTTGGTAATTAGGGTTCATGAGAGAGTTATAGGCTCAGAACTGGGCATAATAAATCGAATAATAATATTAATTACTACTTACTTTCTTTAAAATACTTCCTTATGAAACTTTGCCAATTGTAATTGCTGAGGAGTCAGCCGGATCTGATTTCCATATTTATTCAAAAAGCTGCCCAAGAAACTATCGCTTAAGTTACTTATTTGTTTTTTATTTATTTAATTTATTTAATTTAATATCTTGAGATAGTTTGATAGTTGGTGAGTGTGGAGAAAATAGCTGTTTTTTTTTTTTATATTTAAATATTTTTTCTTGAAGTATTTAAGAATATTTAACATTATTTGAGGAAATGCCCTGAGCAAATGTGCTTATTTATATTCGATCACATCTGTCGAGCAGCCTTCCACCTTAAATTCAGGCCTACTAATTATTATATTTCCCATTAGCTAACCAATGTTGCCCAGCTGCCTTTTAGGCGGCTTATAAGACTTAATTGAGTAAAGCGAGAAGCCAAACAATATCAATTTACAGACAAACTGCTGCAGACACACAGCCTGCCGTCCCTTCCACCCTTCCACCTTGGTGGCAACACTGTTTAACTCAATCAGAGCCTGCCTCATTTCAAAGAACAATCAATATATATTCGGTCGGCGCCAGATCGACTTGCATAATGAAGCCTAATCCCAGTTAACGCTTGCTTGAAATTAGACGGGCCAGTTGCCAGTTGGATGGGATGGGGGCATGTAAATTTAATAATATTTACTTACAAGTAAAGCCCCTGGCCACATTATTCCTAATGGTAAATGCGGCAGCTCTGGTACACTGAGCAAAAAAAAAAAACTTTATAAAACGTAGGAATTTTAGACAGATGCTGTTTTGTTATTTAAATCATCTAAATAAATTCATGATTGATTGCTTGACTTGCTTAACTTAAGCTACTTTTAATTTAGAAAGCGTTTCAGTTATAGTCTATTCTTTTCAAAACATAACTCTCAACTTAGGATTGATTTTTACTCGAGTCAAGATGTTTCTTTGCTTAACTTAAGAAAATTTGAAAGCAGTTTGTGAATTTGTATTTTTTCAGTGTTCAGAGAAAAGGTTAATACAGTTGCGAAACAAATTATAGCACCACTATGATATATTTTCTTCCGAATGCAAAAACACATTTATTTTTTGAATATTTTTAAATGTTGATTTTTAATATATTATTTAGTATTCCCCCTATAAATTGCAGTACTGCTTCTGGAATTCTTTTAAATAATTTTAAATTAAAAAAATATATATTTAAATTTAATTTCTTCGTTTGAGTGGATAAGTGTAAAAAAGTAGCGAAAAAATAATAGCACCACCTACGCATTTTCATTTAATTTTTTAATTATAATAAAATTTAAATAAGTAGAAACAAGTTAAGTAAATAAAATTATGTTTTTTTTTTTCATTTCCACTTTTAAAATCGTATTCAAATGTTTCTTTAGCTTACAAATTTCAGAGGGATACCTTTGAAATCATTTCTTGTGAGAGTGGTGATATAATTTTTATCGCAAGTGTATATCAGTGTACTCACTTTGTTATTGCTGGAGACGTCATAAAGCCCGGCAGTTGGCCACGTAACGTTTGACCGGCAATCATCTGGCAGAGCACCTTGGGCACGCACTGCAAGTCGTCGTTGCGTGCGATGTTCTCCAAGGCTCTAATGAGCTGTGTGTTGGGCGGCCGGCTGTGTTGTTGTGTGTGTTGTTGTGCGCCTGTGAAAGCCCCCAAGAGGCTGCCCAATGGACTGCTGGAGGTGGATGCAGTGCCACCACCCAAGAGTAGATTCGTAAATTGTGGCGCATAGAGCGAAGCCAAAGTGGCCAAGCCACCAGACCCAAGTCCAGATGAAGGCTGCTGCTGAGTTTGCTGCTGGGGATGTTGCTGGTATTGATAAGGTGGTCGATATGTGGCTTGTAGAGCTGGTCGATAGTTGAACTGTTGCTGTTGATGTTGTTGTTGTGTTTGGGGTGGTATTTCACCAATCTGATACTCATAGTAATTGTGACCAGGTCGCTGCTGATGCTGCTGCTGCTGATGCTGCTGCTGATGCTGCTGCTGCTGATGCTGCTGCTGCTGATGCTGCTGCTGATGCTGCTGCTGATGCTGCTGCTGCTGCTGCTGCTGCTGCTGCTGATGCTGCTGCTGCTGAGGCTCATACTGATAGTGTGGGGGACTCGAGGGCGACTGGGAGTTGGAGCTGAAGCTGGAGCTGGGGCTGGAGTGGCTGGCATAACTTGGCTGTGGTCGCTGCAAATAATTACCCAAGTTGTTTGCATAATTAGACGATGTGGCATATTGTGGTCTATGTCCACTTATGTCCTGTCGCTGGTAAATCGGTCGCTGTAAACTCTGCTGTGGCTTGAAATTGGATGTGTGCTGTGAGGCATAACTGGGCGGCGGATAATCATGTGAATCGTATGAGATCTTATTCGAACTGGGTGTTGTTGCAGCTGCCGCAGGTCGGCGATAAAATGTCGATGGACTCTCGTCGAAGACGTAGCCGGGCCGCTTCAGATACACCTCATCCTGGGGGGGTCGCTGTGGCGCATGGCTGCCCACGAGTAGCGATGATTGCACCGTATACGTCTGATCATTTTGAATGTAGCTGTGCGTTGGAGGCGTGGCTGTGTATCGATATGGATCTAGATAGCTGACCACGGGTGTTGTGGGTATTTGTGTGCTTCCATAGCTGTGGAAGGTGTTTGTCTCATCCGGAAAGGAGAACTGCTTATCGAAGGCTGACTGTTGTTGTTGAAGACTGGCCGAGGTGCTGGACACTTGATATTTGTAGTCGGGCTCCAGATAGCTGGGTGGATAACGGTGCTGGATATCGCCTTGCATCACATCCGACGGTGTAAACTCCACCATTTGCGAGGGTCGAAATCCGCCGTTTGTCACCCGTGCCGAGATCTCCGCTTTCTGTCGACGGCTGGGGCTCACTTCCGGCAGCGGCTCGGAGGGGAAAAAGTTTTTGAGCTTTGCGGAAATGTGTTTCTGCCTGTCGAAAAGTGGGCGTAAATTTGCATTTGCATTTGAGTTGTTGAGTTCAATGAAATTTGCATAAATTAAGTTGGAAGTGGACTCAACTCACTCGTCATTTCCGTCCGCATTTCTTATGCACGACACGTCGCCGACTAACGCGATAATTAGAAATGCAATTTTCCATTGCATACTTTGTGGCTGTTGTGCAAACTGCATTCTTTCAACTGTGGGTGGCTGATGTTGGTGTTGGTGTTGGTGTTGCTGTCGTTTTGTGTGGTGTCTCTTGGAATCAGTGAAAATCCCCAGCTAACGTCAGCAATTCATAAGCTTAAGCCACTTTTCGCACGTCGCCTGCAATAATAACATAAAAACTTGCTGTCACCTCCATCTCCTTTACTACACTCAGAAAAAGAAATTGCCCTACATTTCAGTAAATCGCCAGTTTCCGTTTAAAAATGTTTGTCTTAATAGTTCGAAATATTTCTAAAAGTAGATAAAATCGCAATTTTTTTGGAATTGTCGCTTTTTCAGAAATTTAATTGTAACAAATGGAAATATTTTCTATATTTTAGAGCGATTTTCTGAGTGTACAAACTGAAAAAGATTGCGAATTTCTCTAGAGTCCTCGTGGCAAATTTCTCGCAACATTTGCACATAAATTTATAGATTTACCCCCCGAAACGAGGAATGTGGGCAATTTTGGGGAATGCAGCGCATTTGCATTCATATTAATGCAATTCTCACGTGCTCGTTGAGATCTCGACTGCGACTGCGACAACTTGACATTTGTTTAATTCCATTTTTTATGATTGCGCCGTGTTTATGCAGCCACATGCCGCATGCCACATCTCGAGTCGACTCTACTCGGCGCCGTAATCATCAGCTTTATTTCGACGATGACTACGCCGTATTATCATATCCATAATCTTTAGCTCTTTTGGGTGCTCAACTCGACTCTGTCTCAGTCTTTGTCTGCATCTTCTTTTTGGCTTTTGTCTGGTGCGATTTGAGCCCTGTGCTAAATTATTCATATTATTGTGACGTTTTATTTGTCGCCATTTGTTGCCACTGAGCGTTGGCAGGCCTTAAAAGTTTAATACGCATTCAGACTGGCTGCTGCTCTTGATGTTTAATAGCTAAACTTGACTTGATAGCTGGAGAAGTTGCCGGCCTACACTTAAAAACTCTTTCTTACAACGAGAACACTCAGAAAAATATCGGCCTAATAAAGTTTTTATATTTTTACAAGTAATTACTAAATATTGGTAAAAACATTTCTACAATTTAGAAAAGTTTACACAAAATCGACTATTCTAAAAGTATGGCGATATTTTTTTATAAATATTTTATATTGTTAAGAAAAACATTTCTAAATAATTGGAATTTTATAATTTTTGTGTGTATGTGAAGTCTAAAAATACTAATTTTGCATAAGTAACAATAAATATATAAGAATTCTTCAATGTACACACATAAAAAACAAACACCCTGAAAATTAGACGAATGTTTTCTAAATTTTAGAAAAAGCGCTTAAATTTAGAAATGCAACCCATGTTTTTTAAAAATTTACTTTATGTGTAATATGGTGATTAACCATTAGCGCCTTAAGTATTTCGATTTACTAAAATCGAATGCAATTTTATTCTGAATGTACCCAAAACACGTGAGTTGAACGTGTAATAATAAACTTTATCATAGTACATCTCAAGATTAATAAAAAATCTTGTACATCGTATGTTAATATTTTTGCCATAAGATAATAAATTAAATTAAATTAATCTTTTGCCAATCTACTAAACTATTTTAAAACAAGAAAAAATAGCTATTCGAAGTTAAGCTGCTGAAATTTACATCTTAGTCAGGAATTCAAAATAGTATTATGTTTTAATCCCCTTTATTCATTAAAATTGGGAAAAATTAAGTTTTTTTTTGCAAAAAGTATGTCTCAAGCAGAAGGCATCATATCTGACCACATTATATATATATATATTCTTGATTTAGCCGTGTCCATCTGTATTAAAAAGCTGATGTTGAAATTTGGAATATTGGTTCTTGCACACCTTACGCAAAAAAATCTATCAAATTTATTTTATTTTATCGATAACTCGAAACGTGGTCGAGAATATCGATAGATATTGATATCTGGCCATAATTATAAAGGCAGGTCCTTAAAAGCCACAATAAAAAGTAGGACTTAAAATTGACATCTAATATAACTTGACATATTAAGGATTTGATCAAGATTGGATGAAAACGTATATGTTTATCAGTTCGGTGCAGGGTGTGTCTTAGTCGACTTCTCTCGAATATTCATTTGTGTGGTTATATCGTATTATAAAAAGTCAAATGTATATATGTCAACGCCTATTTCGATCCCATTATTTTAAACTCATATTTCGAGCTATTTCTTCTATGGCAGATATATGATATAGCTGTCTTATCAGTCACCATTGCATTATAGTATCCTACTTAAAAATTATGGAGTTTGCTTATATGAAAAAAATATATATACAAATACCGATAGACTGACAGACAGTCGACTTGATTAGTGCTGAGAGATCATGAATATATATTAACATGTAGAGTCAGAGACGTTTCCTTCAATGCGTTACAAATGTGACGACAATATTATCATAATTAAATAGTATTGAATACTATATACATTAATATAATTTCACTATATTTTCATTGCGTTCATTATGTGAATGAATTAAAAATTCAGTGAAAGTCATACATATATCAATATAGCATCTTCGCATTGTCAACTGATATAAATTCGATTATTGGTCTATTGATTGTTTGGCTATTAGTTTCTGTTTAGCAGTCGTTTCATTCATTAATCTTGCCAAACTGATTGTGGACTTGCCACTTTTTTCTGCCATAAATTTCACCACAAATGTTTTATGCACAAAGCGTGCTTTTTGTTTTGTTTTTGGACTCATTCGATTTGCATATAAATGAAGTCAAGGTTGTCTCTCAGAGAGAGATGACGCACAAAGTGTTCAAAAATTGTCGTGCAAGACTTAAAGTTGTTTTGGAAACCGCTGGAAAACCAGCAGAAATTTATTATTTATGCTTGTCGTAATAAAAAATGAAGCGACTATGCCAAATGTGTTGTGCTCGCATATAAAATTTAAATTTAATGCAATTACACACACACAGACACCCGCATGAATGACGGACTGACGGACTGACTAGCTGGCGACAGACTTGCCACAGCAGCTGTAGCTGTAACTGTAATTGCCCCAAAATTTTATGGTCCAAGCAACGAGCGCAACTACGAGAAAATTGCATTTGCAGTTCGAACGGGCGACAGGCGACAGAGGGCGCTGCACTAAAACAGGAAGACAGCCTGCAACGAGACACGGTCGACCCGGAGGTGGGGTGCTTACAGCAAGAAGAAGAAGCGACGACAGCAGGTGTTAGGATCACAAAATGCTTCGAGTACAACTCTGGCACAACATGCATCGAATTGGTCTAGGGTTGCCACCCACACCCCCACACACCCCGTGAACTACACGAAACGACACTTAACGCTTGAGATGGGCTCCAATTTGAGGCTAAAGACGGAACATGGAACATGGAACATGCAAAACGTACGTGTTGTGCATTCTTTAGTGCAGCTGACAGCCGGCAGATGGCAGTGCTGCTTAATTTACTACGAGTACGTCAAACTATGCCCCACCCCCACCTTTTGGCAGAGCTTCGATTTGTTGAATGACTCAGCTGTTTGTTTATTTTTATTTTTTTGTTGGTTAATTTTTACGCAATGTTTAATGCTTTATACACTTGCACAACAATTCAAACAAGTTAAACTTTCTTTTAATTTCTTGGCTGGTTGAACTTAAAAATTGGTCGATTCGCATTTATGTTTGTCACAATTGCCACGCTTTGTTTAACACTCAACAACACCCAAATTGTTTAGCCCGCCTTTGATTTTGCACACTTTCGGCTTTTAATTCCACTTACTGGCTGCACTTCTTCGTCTTCGTCGTATTTTTTTTACTTGCGCACATAAAAAAGAAACCGAAACACGAACAAAATCGAAACAAAATTTTTGTGTTTGGCTTTTTTTTGTTTTTTAGCATGCGCCAACGAGACGTCTTTCCGGCTTTGAGTGCGGCGATCGTTTGACACGCGACGCCGACGCTGAGCATGCGCCAAGTCAAAGTCGTGTCTTGAGCCGAACCTCTGAGTCGGGTCTTTAACTGGCTAAACGAGGATGAGCAAAGGTAAAGGGGGTGAGGGGTAGGGGGATACTCGTGAGCTCCGTTACGAATGATGCAGAGAGTGAAATTATTGCCGAAACTTTGAAATTAAAGCAGCTACTTATGGAGTTGCACAAAGAGAAGAAATGGAGAAAGAGCTGAGCTGATGGAGAGAGTAACTGAGTAATTATATTGAAATGTAAAGAGAGTAGATAGCTAGAAGAGGGCTAAAATGAATTGAAATGTAAAGAGTGCTATTAAATATAAAAGGACGTAAACAGCTTGTGGAACATCATTTTTTTACCTTTGTATGTAAATAATGGTTTACACAACACCTCAAACGTAATGTACAAATTATGTTAAATTAAGAGGGCAATTCATAATGGGAAACGTCAAAGGCCTTATACGATGATGATAGATATATCGTGCTGTCCGTCTGGCCCTCCAACGCATTTTTGTTTCGATGCCCTTGAAGCAAGAGTCTTGAAAACGGGGAATTTACCCCGGTACGAAACTGCGTCAAGAAAAAGTGTTAAGGTCAACGATCTACGTCAATCGATAAATAATCGATACATTTACAAATGGGCAAAACCCAAACATTGGCGAACATCTTAAAGCTAAAGTCCACAAATTTGAAAACTACCTTTAAAATTTGTTTTAATAAGTAAAGGAATCTATAACAAAATGTAAAATATTGGGTCCTAAAAGATTTGTTTAGTTAAGAAAAAAATCTATCAAAAAAATGAAAAATCATGTTTTTAAACATTTTTTAGCAAGAAAATCTATAAATAAATTTGAAAAATTTGGGTTTCTTGTGATTTGTTTAGAAATGAAAGATTTCTGTAACAAAAAGGGAAAAATTTGGATTTTTCAATATTTGTTTACTTAGGAAAGAAAATTGTAAAAAAAAAATGGGAAGATTGGGCTTTTAAAGATTTGTTAAGTAAGGTAAGAAATCTATCACAACATGTGCAAAATTGGGTTTTTAAAGATTGGTTCAGTAAGCAAAGCAAAGTATAATAAAATGGGGAAAATTTGGATTTTTCAAATCACTTTCAATTTCATTGACATTAAAAAAAAATACAAATGAATACAAAGACTGATTACTATTTGAAATTTGTTTCTCATAAAGGGTTCGTTGATAGATGTAGTAACTCGGATAGAGTTCATTCACCCCAATGTGAGTGCATGTTTCAATTAACATCACACAGAGGTGCATTACATGTTGATCAATCAGTTGTTACACATTTGTCGTAAGTCTCATAAGTAGCCAGGTAAGTAATTGTACAATACTCGTAGCGAATCTGGGTGCCACCGAGTCAGTTAGCCAGCCAAATGGCTTAATTATAATTAGCCAAGAGCTGCAGTCAACAAGCAGCGAGCAGCGAGCAGCAAGCAAATTAGTCACTAAAGCAAATCATCGCTCGAAGAGTGAAAGTTGAAACCGGGCTGAGGCTGAATGAGCAGCCAGCCATATACTTGACTCCGCAGAGCTGCAAGAAGACAGCAAACAAGACAAAACGGTGGCATTTACCAGCAGCAGCCAACTTAAGCGACATTGAGTAATTTTCTAGTCTACACTCAGAAAAAAAAAATATTTTAATTTTAGTAAATCGACCAAAAATTAAATTTTTTCGAAAATACTTCTAAATATTACGAAAAAAGACTAAGAAAATGTTAAAGTATTCCGATTTTTTTTTATTGTTTTTTTTTTTTAAGAAATAAAAATGCCAATTATAATAAAGTAATGAAATTTAAGAGCTCTGCTTTTATATTAGAGTTTATCTGGCAGATTTTTTGTTTTCAAATTAAATTATATGAATTTATAAACTATGTTAAATGTTTGTGTATATGTTAAATCACAAAATGCTAATATTTGATAATAAGATATAACAGAATAACTAATATAAACTGTTTCAATGTACACACACAGAAAACAACATCTATTTATAGAATTTATTTTTCCTAAATTTTATAAATACCCATCCTGAAATTTAGAAATGCAAACCAGAGTTTTTAGAAAGTCGCTCCCTTAAATATTAGAAGGTTACATTCTGAATAATAGGGTGACTAGGTTTAGTAAAATGTATCACGACTTTTTTCCCTGAGTGTGGTCAGAGACCCCAAAGACCCCAGAGCGTCCCCCACGCTGCTTTCTTTTCCAAAGTAGTAAAGCAGGAGAGCAACGTAATAATAATTTACACTTTTTTTCTTCGTTTTTCTATTGACTTTGAAGCTGAGCTGTGAGGTAACCAAAAAGCAGCAGTTGGCTCTTGACTCGTTTTGGCGGTCACATTGAAAGCGATACCGAAATCTCCAGATTGTGGGTTGTGCCACTGACGTCTTTCCTTTCATGAGCTAAGCGTGGCTTGCTGTCTTGTTGCCAATTTCGAATCTATGCCATTGCCTGTCATTCAATTAGACGCTTCACAATTTATGAGTATACACTTGCAGAGGTTACTATAATTCTGTCACAAAATGTGTGACATTGAATAAGATATCTCAGTTTACATTTAATAAATGACAAGCTAATTAGCCTCTCAGACGAAGGTCAACAATTTGTATTTTATTTGTTATGTTTCATAGAAAAATCAAAAAAGAAAAGAAAAAACAGAAGAAAAGAAAAACCAAAAATCAAAAGTTACGGAATAATATTTCTCAAATATTTCAGGTCAGATTAAAATTAATTTCAAATTGCACAGGAAAACTGATTAAAAGTCGATTAAAAACCGAGTTCAAGTTATTAATTTATTTCAAAATATATTTATTATATTATAAAAAAAAAGCTAGTACAACTCTCTTTATAAAGGGTATCTTTTCTTCGGCGTGCCAAAATTGAATGATTTTTGTTTGTTTTTGTTGCCGTCTTTGGTTGCCTTTTAATTTGTTTAGTTTGTTTTGGTCTTGCTTTATTTCGTTTTGGGGAAGTTTCGCAAAGTCAAAGTCGAGTCAGTGGGATCACATTGATCAATTATAGGCCATCAGTCTTGTATCCGCTTATGAGTGATTGAACCAAAGAGGTCATAAATTGGGTACGACTGCATATTATGTAAATAAACATTCATGAATTGTTCCCTATTTCTCTACTTTTATCATTAAAATTAGCTTATTATTGAAAAGTATACTAAATTAATTTTAAAAATATCAATTTTTTGATTCTCATTTTAGTGTAATTGAGCAAAATGCGTCTCAAGGATTATCCCGAAATTGTTTTGGATGATATACCAAAGCTGTATGAGAGCCACATTAAAGTATTCATAACGCATCTTTATGGCTTAGAGGAGAAAGTGGACAGACTGCCCAAACAGTTCTGCAAGATGTATACACTGCAACCAATTGCAACTCAGTTGCTGCATTATTTGCGTTCCCGTTCGGCCAACATTTCGGAGCAGGATTTTCACATAGTCAAAAATTCGGAACCGTTTACGGTGCGCCTCAGCGATGGCAAACGCTTGGAGATGATGCTCTGTGCCGGGAATGAGCTGGAAAATGCTTTAATGCTGCTAATCCGTAAATTGCATGGAGAAAGATTGCTCTACTACTATTCTGCTGTGCAGCAGGATGATCTCTGTAAGCTGATGGGCAATGCTAGCTACCAGAAATGGATAGCACAGGGCACCGAGGTGCTCTTCCTAAATCTTCAGGCTGTGGATCAGACATTTAAACATATTGATTTTGAAGAAGTAGCCAAAGCAATCACCAAAAATGAACAAACCGTGCTCAAGATACCCCTCCTTGGCTATGAGTATCTGATCCGAAGACTCGCCCAAACTGCGACACTCTATGGTCACATCAGTCTTAAAGGAAACTATCTGGAGAGTTACAAAAGTTTGAGTCCAGATCTGCGACACTTTGAGCAGCCCGGCTATAAAGTGACTGTCCTTGTCAAGTCTCCCTTCGATGGACCAGATAAGCTATACCCACTGGAGAAGCTTCAGTGGTCCCCGGTGCCGAATCGCATAAATCTCATCCAGCTTTGCAGCCTGCTCCGTCCGTTGCATATTCACGGAATTGTCACTTTTCATGCCAATGGAATTGTGCCACCAGCTCCGCAGTATTTGAAACGCTTCCGTTTCAACTACTCACCCAGAAGTGTTGTGCCGGAAATGGAGGTTCATGTGCCAGAGACCCAGTTAATTGAATTGTCAACTGAGAAAGCTGCCCAATCTCCAGCCAAATCTCAGCAAGGAGGAACAACTCCAAGTAAGGATCCAATTGTGCTTTCCAAGCAAAGGAAGCTCGTCTTTGTTGATTACGATGATGATGATGAGGACCTCTAACAATTTACTAGTATTTATTTACCTTGTATTTAATATTAATTTATATTTTATATTATCAATTCTTTCACAGTTTTTATTACTGTTACTGATATTGATTCTCCAATCACGAGTTTATTTGGAACATAAATTTTCTTATATTTAATATTAATTTATATTTTACATAATTATTTCTTACACGTATTTGATTTATTTATTTATTTACTGGTATTAATTCTCTAAATGCGAGTTTATTTGGAACACAATTTTGAATGCTACTTTAAACTATTTCTATGCAACGACTGAGTGTTGTAAAATTTTGAAATGTAGTGTTGTAATGTGCCGCTATTAGTGCTGTTGGTCGTCGCAAACTTAACACTTCACGAATTTGGCTTAAAAATAGATTTAGGTATAATTGCATTTTCAACAAAGCTTTGTCATTTTGATTAATTTTTGTTTTACTAACTCTAAATTTAATTAAATTAATAAATGAATGCTGTTGAAATACTTATCATTTATTTATTTTATTTGAAGTGAGTTTCTGTCTGGGCACCACTTGTTAAATTTCAACTTTGATTTCGCTTTGTGAAATCTCTCAGCACAGCTCACGCTGCTAGTCATTCATTCATTATACTATTTGAATAGAAATGCGAATATGAATTTGAGCACGGGGCATAAACCAGTTAATGCAGAGTCCAACTGGCGCATTTAATATTAATATCAGGTTCAGACTGAAGTCCGCTTCATGTTTGCGTAAAAAAGGTTGTTAAAATTATTATGAAATGCCTGTTGGCATGCAAGGAGCCGAAACTCCAATTGCCACATCCCTGTGTGGCATGTCCTATCCCAACCGGGTGGACAAATGACCACTTATCAACGTGTAATGAAATATGGCACATGTGTGCCCCATCTACACTCAGAAAAAAATCGACGTATGTTTGTTCAGATCAGTTTCCAATTCAGAAAGTACATTTTCACAATTTTATGGTTTTGGCTTTCTAAGCAATACAGTTTCGTTAGTTTAGTTTTATAAAAATATGTATAATTCGTAGGGTGTTGTTTCCTATTTGTTGAAGAATTCTTATTTTAACTTTTCTGTTACTTTTTTTAATATTAAACATTAGTATTTTTTGACTTCACATACACACAACCATTTAACATATTTTAGAAGGAAGCTGTTTCTTCTTTATAGAAATATTTTTCTTAATAACAGAGAATATATATTCAAAATATAAATATTTGCATATTTTTGGAATTGTCGATTTATGGCAAGCCTTTCTAAATTTTAGACTTTCTTTTATTTATATTTTATAGAAACACTTTATTATTATTTATTTACTAACATTTTTTTCCTGAGTGTAGTATGTACGTATGTGGGTATTTATGTATGAAAGGCATCCTTTTTGGCATCAGTCGCAGTAGTTGGCGCCTTTGTCCAGTTGGAAGGCTTTAGTCGTGCTCTGGCATGTTATATGAATTATGTTGATGGCCAGCATGATGACACTGGATAGCGCTGCCTTTGTATGGTTTGGGGTGTGTGTGTGTCTCTGTCTCATTTATTACATTTTGGCTTTTTGACAGATTGCTAAGCGTAGTAACCGTTTCCGCACTAATTTCCGTGTCCAGCAACTATTCCGACATCGTTGTCGTTGCCGTTGTCGTTATCGTTCTACTCCTACTCATCAGCATCAGCTTCAGCATCAGCTTCAGCACCATCGTCATCGTCATCTTCTGGCGTATTAAAAGCCAAAAGCAAATTACTCATCACATCAACGGTCAGTTGCGATGCTTTTTATATATGCCATACACAGGGATTTTAATAAATCGTTTTGTCCAAGTTCTTGCTCCCTTACTTTGCTCCTCAGTGTTGCTTCCTTTGCGCTGCCTTTATTAGTTTGTCAATAAAGTGGCAAAAGACGTTGATTATGATCGCTATTGGCCCTGGCCAGCATTGCCTTATGAGTTTTGCTTATGACCCGCAGGCTGAGACCCTTTTAGGTCTCAGCAGACACACGAGTATTCTTTACTCTTTGCTGTAGTCCTCAAATAGATGCTCAGACTCTGAAGTTAAAGTCAGAAATTACTCAACTCAACATTTTGCACAACTTTAAATAGTGATGCTTTTTGAAGAGTAGCTTAAATACTTACGGCAAAATTGTTGCATACAACAGGGTTGGGGTTAGAGATGCGAAGGACTAAAGACAAGTTTCTTGCATTTACTTGCCCTCCGTGTGCACTTTGTAATGAATTTTTAATGCATTTTTGCTGCCAGCAGTGCATTTTGCAACATATCCGTGTCTCTACTTAGTTGAAGGGCGCTTGTGGCTTTTATCCCGCGTGTAACAAAATTAATTTTTTGCTACTTTATGCTGAAAGCCAATTAGCTAGCATTACACACACTTTTATACCCCAAACACATGCGACCATGATTCTGTTTAATTTATAATTGAATTGCTTTTAAGTGGCTCTCAAGTTTCGCAAAGCATCTTTTAATTGAAACATAACTCTCATCATTTTCATATCCAAGTAAGAGAAGGGGTCGATTTTAGATAACTTATATTTTACTTAAAAATAAAAATTCAACAAAATTGCCAGCTCTTTGAAAACATTGCAAACATTAATAAATACCATAACTAAAAAAAATATATTAAATTGTAATAAAATTATTAGCATTAATAAATACTATAAATAAAATATGTTAAATTGTAACAAAATTATAATATTAATAATATATATTAAATAATCTTTTGTTATAAGATATGTGTTATATGTATTCATTTTTTAATAAGCAACCTATTGTCACAAATCACACCCACATCAAAATAAAATTCTATCATTTCTAATCTATAAGAACTTTCAACTATTTTTATTTATTTTGCTTTAATTAATGGACTCGCTGTTGAAAAATTAAAATACCATAAATAGCTTGTATTTTAAAATGTGCGTAAAATTGATTAACCCCGATGGAAAATAAATACACAAGAAAAAAGTTCAAACAACAAATAAATTAAATAGTTAATATGAATTTCATAATAATAAATCCATAATAATTAGTTTATTTAAATATGCTTTGTCAAAAGATCTCTTTTAAGTTAATTTATACGCTTTAATTCTACTTGTTGGCTCCAAAAACCGCAGGAAGTTAATTAACTTTAATTTACGGGAAACTGCGGGGCGGAAATGTTGCCTGCTTGAATAATGTTAATAATTAGAATTGGCGGGCGGAAGGGGCGCTTGTAGTTGTTGCTCTTGTTGCTGTTGTGGTAAAGTTGGCAAATGTGTAAGTGGATGGGTTAATAATAAAATTGCGAATATATGACAAAGGCAGGCCCCCAATCGATTGGCCCCCACTCGCCTGCTTTGCAACTGGCAGGTGTTGAACCAAAATGTAATTATCATAAACTAGGCGCACAGGCTCTGGAGTAGTTTGGGCAGCCTATTGATTAGTTTAGCTTAAAATTTAATTGAAAACTTGTAAGTATTCAGTTAACGGACACATTGCCGAACTACAACCAAATCAACAATAAACAAAATGCGACACGCACTGACACTCAAATGTCAAATTAGTCTCTGCTTTGTATAAGCGATAACCAGTCAGACGTGGAGGCGGCATGCGTTCAGATTTACAAAACGCAATCCAAATTAAATATGCCAGCAATTGAGGCTCGATTTGATTGACAGCTGCATGGTGCATGCAGCATGTTGCATGGTGCGATTGAAGGCGGAAGCGGATATGTCACAGGTTGCCATTATAACTGGCACAGCCAGCATAGCCGTGTCCCGTCGTCATTATCATCGCCTGCTTAAGCTGCTAATAACATATCATTTTTGTGACATGCTGCCCCGTTTGTCGTGCCACGTATCCTGTTACCACCGAGTGCCGCGTGCTGCCGTGCGGCAATTATGAGTATTATGAGCATTTAATCCGCGACCACAAAAAAATAAACTACAAATTGGTTTAGGTTGCATAATTCGTTGGTTAAATGGCCAGCAGTCGTACCACCCCACCACCCCAAACTCAAACGCAAGGGTTGCAAATCGACATTAGAATTTTGAATTCTGATTGAGAGCCAGCAAATAGTATTTAAGATTTTATTCAACATAAGGAGTTGGCAAAACCAGCGGCAATATGGTTTTTCAGTTTTTGACCACTACATATTGCTGTTAATATATTTTAATTAATTTTTTAAATCGTCGGCCTACTTTTAGGATGCAATTAATTTACAGCCCAATAGTATGCAACTAAAAATGAATATTTTTGAATAAGTTACAAAACTGACAGCTAGATGGCGACACTCGAACAACAAACTAAACACTGCTGAAATTTTTAAAAATTTGTTGCAATTAAGTAATATTAAAATGTTTAAATTATATTTGGTATTTAAGGAAGACGTATCGCTATATACAACCAAATCGAACGGGATTATTAAGAATCAAAGGCAATTTGGCGATCGCATTTTGAGAAGTCGGTTCAAGAAAAATTGGTAAATTCTCAACTGAAGCGATATCTGTTTGAGAAAACAGTTGAACGAGTTCAAACAAAATGGTTTCATGACCAAATTTCATCTTCATTGATGCGATACAAAATTCATCCAAAATTGTTACATTCTCGTGTTTCATCTCCATTGAATGAATCCTTGCTTGAGCAGTTTGTTCATCGCATAACTTATCTAATACTGCTTCATTCCCCATTTCCATATATATAGAAGTGGTATCCTCTCGCGAAATCGGTACAACGCATAATTCGAAAAAAATTGGTCGTTAATCAAAATGCAGTTTGGTCGGTTCTATACATAGTTAATTTAAAATTGTTTCATTGTCAAGTTGTATTCATTTTATTAATTAATTCTCTTGATTGGCGAACAACGGATGAGGAGCATAACATCATAGGCGAAACTTACTAAAGGGATTTAAAGAGATTGACATTTGAAAAGTTGGGAAATCCGTTTCAGTGCCTTTTGGATCTATATTTTGTAACTCCTTCTTTCGTAATATCCAAAATAACAATTTTAGTCTATAAAAATTTTTAAGTCAAATGGCTTATTGATGTTAAAACTTTCAAGACAATAAAAAAAAGACTGATAGAAATAAGTCGAATTTAAATAATTATTTTAAATAATTCTAGCAATAAAAAAAATATATATTTTTAAATCCAAATTAGTATTCTGCAATAAGTTTCATAATTGCAAATAAAATGTGAGGTTTATGGTTTTAAAATTTTTATTTGTTTTTCATATAATAATAATAATAATAATTCTTACATCTCTTTATGCGTATTTATTTCATTTACATATATACTTTTGTCTTATGAACATATTCATGAGATCATAGTGATATTATATATATCCTCATACATGTACATGTATGTCTTAAAATATATATATACTAAAATATTACAGCATAAGATAAAATGTACAAGTTATATGTCATGTTCGCTGGAGCTTTAAACAAAGAAAAATTCATTTTGATTCATATATGCAAGTTAATGAATATGTAATTGAAAATAATGGGATTTTTTTTTGTTTTTAATTTTTTTTTTTTTAATTCTAATCCTAATTGAAGTTATGTAAGTTCGAACATGTGCTCAACGCGGCTTTCAATTTGAAAAGTTGGCAGCGCATTTTTGACACACATTTTCACTGTTTTGGCACCAACAATCTTTACAAAATGGCATTTGATTTTTGCGCTATATACAAATTACGAATTACTTAATTTTAACACGGAAGTCGCATGGGTAAAAAATAAACAAATTTTAGCTATTTTTGTTTCTTGCTTTTCTGCCTTGTTTCAGTTTATGGCAACCAAAAATCTTGTCGACTTCTGGGCGCGCGGCCACAAAACTTTACCGAGATCATTGTGAAAACTAATTAGAATGAACTAGCGCAAAGGTTTCCATAATCCACAAAACGAATTCTGTTGGAAAATGTCAAGGATGCGACTAGTTCATTTTAGAAAAATTTACAAAAATTTTCATTGATTTTTTTTTTTCATTTTTGTTTTGTGTGGTTTTGTTTTTGTTGTATGTGGATGTGGATGTGTGGAATAGTTGATTACAAATTATGTGTATGTAAGTATGTATAAAAAATAAGTAAGAAAAAAATTATAAACAACAAATTCGTTCTACTTTTGTTGCTTTCTTGCTGTTATATTAACTAGTGTGTATATATGTGTTTGTGTGTGTGGACAACTCTCTCCCTCTCACTCTCTCTCTCTCTCTCTCTCTCTCTCTATCTGCCTCTCTGTCTCTCTCTCTCTGTCTGTCTCTCTGTTGTGAACTGAAAACCTCTTAAGCTAAAAAAAATATTGCGCTACTTACAGGCATTTAATACATAATATTTGTATATATAAACTTAGGTTCGATAAATGTTTGTCAAATGACAAGCAGAAAACTTTAAACAAAAAACTTAAGGCTATAAATATGTAAACTAAGACGCTTGGCGATTCTAACTCTAAACTTTTACATAATTATGCCTAATTTACATATTTCTCATCGCGTTTTATGCAAGTAAAGAATTGTTGATGTAAATGGTAAAAAAAATCCATGAGATCAATGCGATTTTTGGGAATAGTTTTTTGTTATTTTCTTTTTGTTTTGTTGTTGCTTGTTTCTTATGTTTTTGTTTTTGTTTTTGTTTTTAAATTCCTTACTATTTTTCACTGTTCGATTAGCATTGAAACGTCAAGAAATTTGACAAAAATGTTTTGAAACTTTGCCAAAACTGACAATAATTTGATTTTTTGCTGCGTGTTGACTTTTGACTTTGGCTAGCTGTGGAGATCAATTGAGTGGCGCCCTTGCTGTTCTATAAATTTTCCAGTTAAGAGATCATTCAACGTTGGCTTTGAGGGTTAACCAAAGGTATACTTGAAAACTTGTCGGAGCTTTGGCAAATTTCAATAGACTTTTTGATCAAATTTCTTGTGCACTGCGCTTACAACTAAATTGTGAGACCAATTTGAAGAATGAACAAAATAATCCTCATGAATAAGCTGCTTAATGACTACTAAATTTAACTAAAAACATGTGTGCACAATTATAATAAACCATAGATAAAATCATCACAAAAATGGCATATAAGCTATATACAAAAACATTTTTCTTTCTCTCTCTCTCTCTCTCTCTCTCTCTGTCTCTCTCTCTCTCTCTCTGTCTCTCTCTTGTATGGGATTTTTTCTCTGATCTTCGTGTATAACAATTAAAGCTAAATATTTAGAATTTTTACTACTTTAAAGCAACATTCAATTAAGTTGGGTAATTGCTACAAATGTTTAAGATATTTTTTCTTGTAATTAATATTACAAATCGAAGACATTGAAAATTTGTTGTTTGACAATCAAAAATATATACAATTAAAATATTGCAAATATTTTGGAAGCAAGATTTTTTTGTTTTGTTTTGTTTTTTGTGCTTTTTTGTTTGTGTAAATTAACAAATGTTTATTTTAGGCATAGTTTTCTTTAAGTGTATTGAAATGCAAAGCTAAATGCAAATTAGCAAGTAAAAAACAAAGCTCAATCATTGAATTGCTGGGAGACCGGCCTGAAAATGGCAGTTTTCTGTTTGTCGTTAATTTTACTTATCAATTTAGTTTAGTATATTACATCTCAAAAATTGTACAAAAATATGCTCGAGTTGTTTTCTGTATTGTTTTTGTTTTTGTTTTTGTTTTTGTTTTCGTCGAAAAAGCCTTAGCAAAAAATATATGCTAAATGTTTTTACTCAATATATATAGTATAAGTGTTAGCAAAAATATTTGAGTTAATCCATTTATCGATTATCGTTTTCTTTTTTAGTCTTTAGCCAGTCTACAGTTTGCAATTGAGCAGTTTGAATTGTTGTTGCGTGTTTTGTTTTCTCAAAGGATAGTTTATCGCTTGAGAGATATATGAATAAGAATACAAATACAAATACAAATACAAATACAAATACAAATACAAATACAAATACAAATACAAATACATAAATATAGATTTATATTGTTCTTGTGTCCCGTCAACCTCCTTAACTTTATACAAATACATTCTGTGCTCGTACTTTCGATTTGATTGGATTTGATGTGATTGTGATTTGATTTGATGACTGTACTGCACTTATAAATACACATATGTATCTATGTATGTGTAGAATATGCGATTACTATACGTTAGCTGATTTCACTATGGATCATTAATTAAGTATATGGTTATTTATATTATTGTTGCTGTTGTTATTGGTGGTGCTGCTGTTTAGCACTCATCGCGCTGCAAAAAAGCCACAGCCCATGGCAAACACAAAGACGGTGACAACTGTTGGCCAAGTGAAGCTCTGCTGTTTCTGCAAAGAAATTACAAACAAATATACCATGAGCAAAAAACACTTCCAACTTACTTACAGCTACTCATTTCTACACTCGTAGAATGATTTACACTAATAATAATAATAATAAACTCCCTGGGGTCGTATCAATATGCAAGCCCATAAACAAAGTCACGTGCACTCTGATCATTTAACCGCAGTCCCAACCCCCAAACACACCCACACACACACACACACACAGTCAAACACACACCCATTGAAGCATTGACCATTCGTAAATCAAGCGCAACCATGAAGAGGAAGGAACTGATGTGAGTGACCCAAAATAGCTGGTCAATGACTGGTCAATAGCGTAATTATTTAGCTCTCAGCTCTGACTATCATTTCACAATTTCGTTTATCGCATTCAATTGATAAGTGTATATAGAATAATAATTTATGCCATTTATTTGTAGTATATTCACGCTTGAATGGTTATTACTGTGTGTGGTGCACGTGTAAATGATGTGTGGTTCGAGTTGCCAACCCAGCCAACTCAGCCAAACCGAACCCATACCAAGCAAATTTATTATGCAAATTATTATTCATATTTCTGGGTCATATTTTCATAGAATTTGCGCGTATTTGTGTAATGAATCGAAAGCGCTTTGGCACATGTGTTATTATTCTGACATCGATATATATATGCCATATCTACGGCTACTTCTGTGCAACCCATTCAGTTCTCGCGATTATAGAATTTCTCACGATCTCATTAAAGTGCGCTTCCGATAAGGGCAATCGCAAAAAGCGCAGCTTCCCAAGAGAGTTCGAACCGGGCCTCTAAGCGAGAGACGAGATAAGCGTGTCACTTCCGAAGGCAATGCAAATAAAATACACGCAACAACAAAAGACAAAAAAAAAAAAATAAAAAAAGAAGCAGAACACAAACAACAAGAATTAAATGTGTTTAAAAATAAAACAGCAATGGTATCATCAAGTGGGAGCTATGACTGTGAATGCCTCAAGTCTGTGTCATGCGATTGAGTATCTTGAAGGTTACATTTCTTTTAATTGCGCAGTCAAAAAAAAAAAAGAAAGAAGAAAAATAAAATAAAATAATAAATAATAATAAAGTGCAAACTAAAGTACTTGTGCAATACACATGTGTGTACCTACATATATATATATATAAATACTATTTATACACAGTTGCAAATAAAATAATAGCACCACCTCAACAGTTTTTCATACGAATGAAAAAACAGATGCAGATTTTTAAATATTGTTTAGTATTCGCCATAAATTAAATTTAAAAATAAAATATTTATTTGAAAAAATTGTGATATTTTTCATTAATTTTCTTAATTTATTTATAAAATTTAATTGTGAATAAAATAAAATAAAATAATAGTTATTTTCTTTCTCACTTTTTTTTGTGAAGAGTCTTCTTCCAACTTTTAAATCGAATTCATACAAATTTCAAAAAGACACCTTTGAAAATATTTCTTGTGAGAGTGGTGCTATAATTCTTGTCGCAACTGTAACACACACACATAGGCACACACACACACACCCGTATGACAGCTGACAAAGGCTGACTCTTTGACTGACTAAACTAGTAGTGAGTAGTGAAGCTCCAGGAGGGGAATGGAACGGGAAAACGACACTTGCCTCGATTAACATAAAACAGTCGATGCCGAGAAGCCACAGAGTATGCAGAGAGGGGAGAGGTGGGCAGAGAGGGGTGCTGGATCAGAAGCAGAAGCAGAAGCAACAGCAGCGCTGCGCAATTAATTTTTATCACACTTTTAGCATGTGCAAAGTTTTCCTTGCAAATTGCAAAACAACATTTGAAAATACGCAACTGCAACTGCAACTGCAACTCCAACTGCAACAACTCCGACACCGACTTCGATTCCGGAGTCCGCCTCTTTGTGGCAATTTGTCATTGCATTACTATTTTTAGGCCAGTTGGGCTTTGAATAATGCTAGCACGTGTCCATGCCTGCCTGGGGTTGCCAAACAGATGCGGCGAGTTCATGAACCCGTATACACATATATCTAATATAAAACTGTGTGTATCTGAATCAAAATCATTGCTGCTCACCTTCTCCTTCTGCTTTTCCTTCGCCGACTGCTCCCGTTCCCGTTCCCGTCCCCGTCCCCGTTGTTGACTCTGACTGCTTTCGTTGGTTTGGCTTTGATTCGAGTTGTGCGTGTTGCACGTGTTGCCGCCGCCGCCGCCGCCGCCGCCGCTTGTCTTCTTCTTGCGCGGCGGTATGCGTCCATTAAACTCCTGTAGGCGTTCGCGTCCAGCCGTAAAATTGTCATAGCGATCATCGAATTCATCCCAGCTGGTCTCATGATCACTCTGATACTCTCGCTCATCCTCGCCAGTCGAGGTCATCCGCTTGCTACAAACACACAGAGAGCGATAAAGACTATCATTATTGTAATCGTTAATTAAATGCTCTTATCAATAACTCACTAACTCAGTGCAACTACATACAGAATAAAAAAATGCTGTGATTAATTGCCAATGCGTATTTTTTATTTTTGTTCATTTAATAAATGAGTTTTGCATTGTTAATGGGAATCGCTTATAAACGCTTGCAGCGGGGTTGTTTAGTTTGATTGTAAAATGTGTAAGTATATTAATCAAAGAAGGCATCTCAAAGAAAATCTAGTATATTATAGTAAATTCAGAGGAGTCGACATATCAATCAATCCGTTTAACTGCTTATATGCAATACAGGATCTCACTTTGTAAGCTGTCTTCATATAATTTTTTCGTTAATTCTGAGTGTTTTCCCAATCCATGCAATAAATGTTGAGCCATTTTAAAATATTTCTTATTTTTTATAAAACTTAACCATTCTTCTTAGCATATATACATTATACTAAACAATGAGTCTGTGAGCCTAGATTGTACACGTTTTTATAAACGTGTTTAGAAGTTAAGTTAATATTCAACAACAAAATAAAAAATGTTTATCAAGATTTATTTAGAACAGCGTAGCAGACAGTCTGCATCAAATTGCAATGTTAATACCCTTAATATTAATAATTTTTTAATCATATAAATTGGATTTGAATTGAGAATTGTTTCACTATTTATAAATAAGCATTGCTTATCAAAGGGGAAGCTACGCGAAATATGAATGAAAATGTATTTGATTATTGAGTTGAATACAACGGGACAATTCTGTCCTGAGTTAACTTTCTTTCTTGGTCAACAACTGATGTGGTTTTTCTAGGTGTTTCCCAATAGAAATATTAAGTAATTTTACATTTAAATACCTACTTTAATTTAAATGTAAATATTAACTTTTTTTTCGGTGTCGCCTGATTTTAGTTGTCATTAAATATATTTCTTCAATTGAAATTTAAATTAATATATTGCATTTTATTTTTAATTTAGTTAATCTTTTCCTTTTCCATTTTCCTGAGTCAACTGATATTAGTTGGCATTAAATAAATAAATAAATAATAATAAAGTAAAGAAGCCAACCTAACCTAGGTCAGGTCTAAGAACTTACCGTCTAGCCGCATCCGATTGGCTGCGCTGCAATCGCATTTTGTGACCAGTTGGCGCCAATGGTGTGGATGCCATGACCGTGCCGTAACCGTGTCGGCAGAAGGCGGAGGCAGAGCCAAAGGCGGAGGTGGAGGTGGAAGTGGAGGCATTCGCAGTGTTCGGCGTGGGTGGCGGCGTATAGGTGGCAAAGTAGGCGCCAGCTGGCAACGGTTGTCCATAGGAGGCCGGATGATGTTGCAGCATCTGCTGTGATGTCTGCGGATAACTGTGGCTGTAGTGCAACGGTGGCGCCGACTGCGGACCCAGCGTCGCTTGCGGTGGCATTGGCTGTGGCGTCGATGGCGCCGGCACCGGATACGGCTGTCGATAGACATTGAAATCCTCAACGCCGGCAAAGCTGATGCTGGTGCGCGGCGTGCGTGGTGGCCAGGGGGTGCCGGGAGCAAAGAATATATCGTTGCTTGTGAAGCTGGGCGACTGGGGTATCGAGCATGAGGGGCTGGGCGGTGGCGGGTACTGAAAGATTTGCGGGGCTGCAAAGAGACAGAGACAGAGAGAACATGAATACAAATGAAGCACAATAAAAATAATAATAATAAAATAAAAAATAAATAACTAAAAGAGAGAAAGACAGAGACAGCGAGAATGAACACAAATGAAGTGCAATAAAAATAATAAAAATAATAATAATAATAATATTGTGAACAAAGGTGTCGTTGTCATTGGCCCTTGGTGACAATGTAAGGAAGTGTCTAAGGTCATCAACGGCTATTGTGTGGCAACTGCAACTGCAACTGCAACTGGCCACTTAGCGCTGCCGTCTGCCCATAAAAGCGATTTTAATTACGGCAAGTTCTCTCAATATGCGTATCATAAAACCGATCATAAAATCATCACGTACAACAACATCGATGCAGCGGTTCCTTTGTACTTTTGTGTAAAAGTATCTGTCAGTATCGAAAAGGCGCATAAAATATCTTTAAAGTTATAGCAGTTATCGTTCATCTGATTTGCAATCAAGTCTTTTCTTACAAAATGTATGTAAACATATTTCAGTAGCATTAGTTAATGCCTGAGTAACTAAAAAAAACTATTTTTTATTTCTTAGTCCCGAAATTTCAATGTCGTCGAGGTCACCAGAAATCAACGCTCAAAGTTTAGTTAATTTATTTTGAAAATTTGTGAAAGATTTTATCGTTTTGCACTTGTCAAAGAAGCAGTCCAATTTTAGCATATTGCACAAGTCCAATTAACTCTTCTAGCTTCGATGTCAGAGTATAATCTGTAGACTAAATCGAGAATCTACTCAATTCCAAAAGTTGACAAATCATCATCAGCTTAGTTTACGTATTCTGAGTATATAGTATATATATTACGTATGTGTATCCAAAGTACTTGATGTACAATGTCATTTCATATTGATGCTGTTTGATTTTTTATTTTCTTTCAGTTTTTTATGTCATTTCATGCAAATTGAGAACACAGAAAAGTGTTGATAGCTGCTAAGTTTCAAAGCTGGCAGGCAGAGAACACTTGATATGCGCATAAATTTGTTGTTGTTATTGGTGCCTTGGTAGTTTATCAGCTGACAGAGAACATTTTCATATGATTTCTTAATGTTTATTTACTTAAAAAGCAATTTAACAGCGACAGATGATTGATTGTAATGCAAAATTTATACAAATCACTCGACAGCAGCAGCAGCAGCAGCAGCAGCAACTGACCGAAACGAGATAATGTCTCAAGCAGCTAATTGCCCCTAGGGCATACTTATTTACTGCGGTGCTTATGGTCAGCAGAATGGCATGCCAGCCAGCCAGCCAGTCTGTCAGTAAGTCAGTCAATTGTTTGTGCTGTGCTTAGAATGGAGAAATACTTGGACACACTCAAAAAAACAATTCGCCGTAAATTTTGGTAAATCGCTTTACTTTTGGCGCCAAGGATTATTATTCAGTATCATTGGTATTTTTAGATTTCACATAAACACAAACAATTTACATTGTTCATAAATTCATCGAACTTAATTTAAAAATCTCAAAATTGTTTGTGAATTTTTGAAAGAACTTATTATCTTTAGGGCAAGCCTTTCTGCAGTGTGGAAATTTTATCCTATTATTTAGAAGCAAGAATTACTTCATATTTTTAGGGCGATTTTTATGAGTGTAGATACAGATACGACCAGCGGCGTGCTCAAATAATGTCATTCAACGTCAACCTGCAGGCGACTAATTTGTAATTGACCCAATAGCCTTGAACTCGAATAGTCTTATATATCGCAGCGGGTCGCAGTGAAGCGAATCGAGTGTTTCACAGCTGTTGCAGTTTGCAGTTTGCAGTTTGCAGTTTGCAGCAGCAGCAACAAGAAAATCTGCGCTTAATTGCTGGCACTCCTTGTGCTTTGTATCTTACAGATACTTTATGCCATTTGAAACTAGTTTGAGTTAGCTGGCAGGCAAGCAGGCAGTCAGCCAGTCAGGCAGTCAGCCAGTCAGCCAGCTGCCTGAAGCTTCACTGTGGCTCACGTGCGCTCAACGCGCGCAGTTAACCTTGAAAATCCGCCAGACCAACTCAGCTTGAAGCCAGTCCATGTCAGGCATCATTACGGCTCGTACTCGTATCTTGTAGTTTGTAGTTTGTAGTTTGTTATTTGCTGGCCACCATACAATATAACTAGCCTTATCCATATACAGTTGTGGAAAAAATAATAGCACCACTCTGACAAATATTTCAAATATGCTTTTTATAAATTTGCAATTTTAAAGACCTTACGAATATTGTTTTAGAAGTATTTAATTTTAATTTAATTCACAGTTTTCAAATTGTTTCAAATTAATTAATATTCAAATTAAAAAATTAAATTTTAAGAAAGAGGAAGAAAATGAAAGACAAAAATAATAGCACCTTTTCTGAAATTATGAAAATTATAAATAAACAAACGATTTGTATAAAAAATGCGTAAAAGCTGCTATCAAATTCTTCGCTACTTTCTACCACTTTTCACTGGAAAGAATTCCGGGAGCTAAACAAAATATCAAAGATAAAAATTTGGAAAAATTGGAAAACTAATGTTTTGTAATTCGTAAGAAAAAATGTCGCAGTGGGACTATTATTTTTTTCGCAACTGTATGTAATGGCTATATGTAGAAGTCTGGCCCATGCTGGTGCCTTTATGATGAGGCGCGTTGAAAATGTTACTACTAATTGCAAATTGTGTGGAAAATTATTTGCCAAGTGTTAAAATTGCATTTGCATATTAGTATGTGGGCACAAGTGTGTTCTCTCTCTCTGTCTATGTGTGTGTGAGCGATTAGGTATGCTGCATGCACCGCAATATCGCTAAATGGTGACCTGAGCATCAGTGTGACTGACTGCATCTAAATGAATTATGACTTTGTATATAAAAAGAAATAGAAGTGAAAATGTTTTCTATTAGTTGTCATCTTCAATCAATTAAGACTTTTTTTTATTTCGTATGTTTTTAAAAGTAGAATTTGTGCATGCAAATTGTAAATTGGTTATAAGAAGTCAATAACTTAAATTATTAGACATTTTTTTATTTTTTATTTATTTACAACATTATGACTTGGCAAAAAGTACAAACATAATGTTTTATTTACGAGGCCTTCGAGTCTTAAATTAAAAAATTGTAAATAAAACTAACCGATTGGAATATACTCGATTATAAATGCTCTGCACCATTAAGAGTTATCGTATTATTATTATCAGATTTGAGCTTTTGTATTGTATTATTATATAAAATAAATATGCAATTTATTAAATTAAATTACCATTCACAGCTAGCAATATTATCCAGATTTGAACTTATCTAGCTAAATAAATTGCTTTTAAAAAATTTGTCTATTATCATAGTTTGCACATAACAAAAAATCTATAAATATTGATGGATACTAAATGACAACTCACTCAACACTTGTCGATTTTAAGTGCATTTTGTTGTAGTTTTAGTCGCAGCATAATGAAAAGGTTTAAGTCGGGTTCACAGTTACAAAATCACTTTTTGTGGCTTGTTTTTTTTTTACTTTGTGTTTCTCACCTCTAACTTTTAGGACTTTTATGGCACCTTAACAATTTTTATGATCGCATCTCGATGCGGGCAATTGTTGGCGGTTGTTGTAAGTAGTTATTGTTGTTGGCTGGTGACGAAACGTGACCAATTGTTAGCAATTGTTTTCTGCATTTGTTTATACGAGTATACGAATTGTACAAGTTTACGTACGAGTATTGTATTTTTATGGCCACAGCATAATGGCAAATGTTTAATTAAATTGCGATTCGATTTCGAGGGATTCGCAGTGCATTTGTCGCATCTGTGGGCCGACCAGCACTGCAAGCAACAATTATGTGAGTAATTTACTTTAATTCTTTTCAAACTGTTGACTGTTGCAATGTTGCAGCTTTGTTGCAATTTTAAGGCCGTCGCAGCAGCAGCAGCAGCAGCAGCAGCAGCAGCAGCTGACAAACATCAATCAGGCGAGCTGAGCAACAAAAGCCAACTCAAACTAAGCAGAACGTTAGAGGCTCAAGAACAATTTACACGCGGCCCCAGGAAAAACCGAGGCTGGCTGGCTGACTGGCGGAAAAACGTGAAAAATGCTGCACTCTGTACGTATGTGTGTGTATGTGTGCTACGCTTTGTTTGCCACAAAAGAACAAAACGTTCGACGACGTTCCAATGCAATTTTATATACCCTAGTCGGCAGAGTTAATTCATACTGTGGCTTACAAATGACATACAGAAAAAAGTATTTGCTATTTAATAAATTATTCCATCATATCAAATGTTCATTGGAAAATTCAGGCGGGCAAAACTTTTCCGTTTTTGTGCTTAACAAAACTCTTCCATTTTCGCAAATGGCATACAGATGTCCGCTTAGACCGGAAAACTCACATTATTTGCTATAAAAAAAATTAAATCAAGTACTTAAATAAATACACATAAAATGTTGCACTATTTTGCATTTTTTCTTCTTTTTTTTAAATTTTAATTTAATATAAAATTTGATTAATATTAAATTTAATCTATTTTTTACATTTCGTATTTTTTGGTGTTTTTTAGTTGACATTAAATAATTAAATAAAAATATTCAATTCACATAGCAAATGAGTATTTATATTTGTGAAAGAGTATTCAAACGTCACCATGCCGCATTCGACTTATTCGTTCTTGTTAGTCGCTGCAGTTTCGCAGTTGATTACATGTCAGGCCAGAGTCGAGAACGTCGAGCCGCAGCATATGCTGCTCATGATGGCCTTGAAGTGCTTGAGAACATGGCAACACCAACAACAACAGCAACAACAACAATATTAACAACTAAATGCGAGTATGAATATCAGGCTGAATACTGCGTCGCAGCGCAGAAATCGAAATTGAAACGAGTTTCAATGGATCTGTCATCGCACTAAGTTGGTCACTGGAACTGCAACCCAGATCGCTGTTTGCTGATCTCTGCCTGATGTGTGTCAACTGAGAAGTTAACAATTTGAATTTCGGCTTAAGGAAGCCAAGAGATAT